CTTTAACACGATCCCAGACCATTTTTATTTAAATTTGTAGTGTTTGCTCTGCACATTTCACTTCAGACAGTTCCTCAAACCTTGGACGATATCGAGCAGCCTTCACTCAGCGTTTGACACTAAAGAGAGGCAGTTCCAACTTCATCACTTCTTCACAACCCCAACCGCAACCTGACCCTTATGAGAAAAGTATACTTAAAGTTCATTCTCAGTTCTATTTCAGTACGTCTTGGGACTAAATTGGCCCACTTTCCAGTTTATAAATGTATATTTTTAAGTGTATTTAGGAGCAAGAGTAGTAAACTTTGAGTACAGAACAATTTTACATTAAGTTTTTTGTACTGCAGCTATAATGTGAACAATGCTAAAAGTGAGCTTACAGGTATACTGTTACTTTATTAGTTATACTATATATATTGTGGCAGTGGGCTTGGGAGGAGCTAAGCCACTCAGGCTGAGAGCCCACGCAGGCCCAGGGCTCTTTATTTACATGTTAAAGAACAAAAACATAAACCAAGCTGAACTTATCTCACTTCTTTCAAGGTCCTTTTTATCTGGCTTTAGACCAGGCTTGTTCTCCAGACGTTGAACTCTCTCTCCCCTTCGTGTTGGAGAGAACCATGTTTTTAAAGTGTCCCTGCTCCTCCACTGAGTGGCCTCAGCTGTCCCTGATCAGGGAGAGGAGAGGCTCACACATCTGTGTGTGTGTGTGTGTGTGTGTGTGTGTGTGGGATATATATGCATGTATATTTGTAAGTTTTCTTTAAGTGAACATAACATAATTCTTATAGTTTAATACTTATACATTGTTCTTGCAGTACTAGGGCTCTATTTAGGTATTATTGTTGTGCTTGAAATGTACCTTTTACTGTACTTTAAGTAGACTTGAAGTTAACTAATTTGAACACTACCATTGGACTACACCTAGAAAAATTCACTAAATATACTCAGAATTAAGAACATATTTGTCTTGTTTATAAGCCAAAATTTTTAAACAAATATTGGTTTTGATGCCAAAATATGAGAACATAACTCAAATCGACATTGCAGTTCAAAACAAAATACAACAAACTCACACCTTCGAAGAGTCGTCAACAAAATCAGCCAAATGTTTCTGTGTTTGTGTGGGTTGATAACACTGTGTACATAAAAGATCAGGTTCAGTTCCAAACAGGTGTTTTTTCTTCTGAACTATTCCACCCCAAACTACAAGCCAAGTACACTTAAACTTCATGTATAAGGCAAGAATACATAATTATACTTTTCTTAAGTACATCTTGTATACCTGTCAGTATTCACCCAATTTGTGGTGCACCTGGGTATACACCCAAACTGTTAACTTCCGTTCATAAAGACAGATTGTTTGGGGGGGATCAAATAAAGGCATCTTATAGAGAATATATTCATTACACCATGAATTTTTTCAACTCTTTTTTCAACTCTTCCATGCCAAAAATGGCAAAACATTAAGCTTTCAATGGTTCTAAAACCAGTTATTAAACAAATAAAGCAGTTTAATGTGACAGCTTATTTGTATTTCTTTGCATGTTGAGCTTTAAAACAGTTGGAAGCATTGCCAAGATAATTTGTGTTTAATGTGAGACCAAATACCTCTATAGGGTTTAAATCTGAACCCAAAACCATCAGTAAAAACCTTTACATTTTGGGGCTTGGCCCATTTTTTGCACAGGAGTGTATAAAAAGCAGCTCATGATTTGCTTAATGTTGTAATATTTTGTTTTGCAGGATTATGTAATCCTGAAACACATTGATATACTATGATATACGTAATATATTTCCGCATCAAAGCATATGTCTTCTTAAATGTTTCTCACTTTGCCCATACGTTTTGTGTCAGTAATTTTAGTCAAATCAGCAAATATAAGTGTCCTGATGTATTTTAAAGAAATAGCATAGTATAAGAAAAATAATGAAAAACATTATAAAAGGGTAAAAAATCTGGAGATGAGAGTATATGTGGCAACATGGCTTAATTTAAATGGTTCAAATGCCTAGAAGTGTGTTAGTCTCATAATGAGAATAAACATCCAGAGTAATCAGTAACACAAGCAAAATAAGCTACCTAGTGAAACACTGGTGTTAGCTAATGGAGTTTTTTTCCCTTGTGAGCGGTAATGTTTATTTTTACCAAATGTAATGTTTTTTTCTGCACACGCAGCAAACATCTATAGACTTGATTGGAGTTCTTGGGGGGGCGCTTTTCAGCCATGCTAACTTATGTTACATCCATGAGCTAACGACAGACTTTTTGTCCATCTGGCAAAGTTGACAAGTGAACTATTGCCCCCTTCTTTGAGCTTCACATTCATGAAGCGTTGGATTGGTTTAGAAATTTCAAACCAAATTTGTCACCCAAATAAGTCTACGTTCCTACCAACATTTAGCACCAAATTTCTCACAGTTGTCCCCAGACATTCTCATCTGGCCCCATGAGGCAGATATGTTAGAAGAAAGCTGCATATTAGCAGTAGTTAGAGTAGTATAGTAGTTAGAGGGAATTGTTTAACTTTTATTCCAATCAAATGAGGTGGTCTTAGTCTGGATCAAACTGAACCGTAGTTCAGTTTGTTTGCAGTGTGAAAACACCTTTTTGGATGGTTCCTCACTCATTAAACAACAAAAGAAGAAAAAGAATGGGGAGAAGTAAACATGAGCCATGGTAGCAGGTGGAGAGGAGGAGACAAACTATTTAATTGTAATTTGGTCCAATGAAGAAGTCAAAAGTCAGTTTGAAAAAAAATGCATAAAAATAGCTAAACTTATACTGTATTTTCTGATGAAAGGATGAAAGAAGTAAGGCCACCCGCCGAGAATGACAACACACTGATGTCAGACACATGCTCGTCTGCAATGTTAAGTACAGGGAGATGCAGCCCACGTAGGTGATGACGACAGGACGTAGGTGTGTCATGCAAAGTTGTTTAGCGCACTCAATAAATTGCAATGTGAAACCAAACTAACCAGATCAAATATATACAATACACTAACAAACATGAACCTTGGGCTGGACTTTCAGGACTTTCTTAGTGCCCTAAGAGAAGAAATATCAAAATTAAGACAAAACCCACCTTTGACCTGACATGAGTTTATTCACCAATAGAATGAGAACTGTTTTTTCAGGCAGATACAGACAGTGGAGAAAATCATATTTTATATTTCATAAATGTGATAAGGGATAGACAGGAGCTTGGCACATAAAGAGATACCCACACCAGAAACAGTCAAAAAGAGTCACAGAGCCATGGGTGTGCTGGGTACTGACACACTCACACACATATACACGCCTGCACACATGCACACAACCACTCATCACGCTCGCACTGTGTCTTGTTGAAAACTCTAAATTGTTAAGATTTCAAATATGAAATCGCATATCGCTGTCGAAGTGTGTGTGTGTGTGTGTGTGTGTGTGTGTGTGTGTAGAAGTGTGTGTGTGTGTGTTTGTGCGAGGATGTGTGTAAACTTGTAGGGAAAGAGGAGCAGTTTCAGGTCAGTCTGTCATTTTTTTAAAGATGAATGTTCAAGTTCATGAAATTCAATATCAAATAAAATACATTAATAATTAAAAAAAAAAGAACCAAAAACAATGACAACAACAAAGATTATTATCTACATAAACATCCTCATGTGCAAGAATATACATTTTGGTTCTAAGGCAATAGTTGTTCTTCCACGACAGTGGTGCATGTCAATGTTGGGAGTGGGTCGTGTTCCAATATTCAAGCAACGTTCCCCTCAGCGCTGCCTCTCCATCACACAATGAGCAGCTGGAGCGTTGCCTCATGGGATTTGTAGTTTGAAACATTGAGTAGCACCTTTAGGAATTCCCTTCTGTAGCGATTGCCTTGCCATCTCCTTGCCTTCCAAGGGAAAAAAGACCCAGTTGAGGGTCATCATTGACTGTCCTAGTAAAAGTTGCTGAGTTCCCTGTGAGTGAGTGGGTTTAAGCTCAGTTTGCATTTGTGAGTTCAGCTCAAATTGTCCAAGTCCATTGGTTGGAGAGCGTCATTCGGAAAGCACACAGTCGGATACAGTCTTTTTTCCGCTTCCTTTGTGTTAAGTGCATGTTAAGCGCACAGAATCATAGGGGCTGTATTATGTCGTTACAGCTGTAACAAGCACTTTATGCAAGGCTTTGCTTCCTGTTTACAGCTTTTCGTCTTCCTCTTCTTGAGTGTTCGCTACGACCTCAAGTGAGAAAAACACGGCCTAGTCAAACACGCATACACCCGCGCACACGCACACATGCAACTTTCAAACAAAACAATGTTCTGAACATGATTCAGTGATTACAGTTCACTTGTGGTTCTCATTAAGTAGTCAGATATGTTAGTGGATATAATTTCAGTACAAACAAACATTTCTGAAAAAATCTAACTGCAGACTCAATGTTCTCTTTGAAAGTGAATGGACGTTTAAGATTTGATTAATAGATCTCAAAAGCCTGATGGAAAATCAGATTTCACCAGAGGAAAGAATAAAAGATTCTGATGAAGTTTTCATAGCATTTAGGGCTTCAAAGAAAGCAGTATCCTTGCATTTCATCGTTACAGGGTGGAATACATACACGCACACATGTAAACAGTCACAGACATTGCATTAACATTAAAGCATTCCTCATGTTTTCATCCTTTTTAGAGGAAAAACCCACAGACACACAAACGCCTAAAGGAACATGTGCGCATGCAGCACACGCAGTCAACACACGCACACACATTATAGCTGAGGTATAGTGTGACAACAGCAGCTCAATTTCTTGGAACCAGACTTCCCATGTTGTCTTGAACTTGTAAAGTTTCAATACAAAACACATACATACACGTATACATACGCACGCGTACACTCATACTCTTTCACAGGCTTGTAAATGTCCCGCTCTGTCTTTCTTCATGCTGGAGTGCAGCATCTACGTATAAGCTTCTCTCCTGAACAGGAGGGAGTCAGCATAGTCAGTTTTAGAGGATATTTAAGTGACTGCGTGGAGGTGGATATTATAGTATATATGGATGAGTTTGCAGCACTGGCCCAATCAGAGAGCAGCATGACCACCTCGGTCCAATCAAGCGTCTCTGTGGCAAAATGGGTGGAGTTGCCCCGAGTTTCAGGGAATCTGTTTGGAGCTTTGAGTCTGATGGACAGCAGTCTCAGAAGTGGCTGGACGTGTAATAATGCAAGGAGGTAAAAATCCAGTGCAGGAAAACGTGGCAAAGTCTTTGACTGACGTTACTCTTGACGTTATTCATTGATGTGTGGGAATTTGACTTCTCCTTTGGTGACATTTTTTTCCTGTCCTTCTGTCAGCGTTCCCCTTCTTTCAGGGGGATTGCATGCGAGTGCGTGTGACAGCATTACTTGTGCATATGTAACGCCTCCTGAAACTTGGTGCTGGTGTAGCGGATGTGGAAGCCTTTCTTGCTGATGGTGTCGTCACTGTGGAAACGAATCAATACAGCGTCGCCAGCTGAATATAGCTCCTCACGAGGCTGGAGCAAGAGAGAGAGAAAAGGTTTTACCATGCACAACAGCAGCAAAGACACATAAATGCAAAAGATAGTAAGTCTCAGGTTATTATTGTCATTTTGTTGCAATTCTTTAAAAATGCAACCACACAGTTACATAATGATTTACTTCATATTCGGTCTGTGTTTTGTACCGACAGGTACAGGCAAGTTTTCATTGGATGTGAAGTCAAGAAATTTTTCTTTACACAAAACAAGATACAACAATAACTTTTCTTCAAATGCTAATAAAATACCTTCTCTTCTAAATAAACATGTGCTTGTTAGGAGCAGAAGTGTAGAGATGTACTTTGAACACTCTGAAAACAGGACAAGCAACTACAGCAATACTGATTGAAAGTTTAACAGACGCACTTTTAACAGAATTTCTCTTTTGGTTTCATTGAGCTACAAGCAAGAACTAATTTATATATAGAAAGAAAATAGAAAATAATAAATGCTTTTGAGTACAAACTATGAGGACAATAACTTTTATTCAATGTAACAAAGAACAGATTTTCAGTGACACTACTGGTTGTTTACTGGATCACTATCATTGGTCTAAATCATTTTGTGAGAAGCACACAGTTACTTAATGTTCTTTAAGTAATGATAAAAAACACAATATGCTCAGGAAAACATGCTGTGGCATCATTTTTTATAATAACGATAACAAATAACATTGTACTGACTACTGTCAATAATGTACTCTGGCACACACACACATTCGCATGCATACTCTCACACCCACAATGCTTCAGCTCTTACCCCCGAGCCGCAGAAGCGTCCAAGTCTGTGGGCTGAAGTGTCATGGCCATCATAGAGCTCGATGTAGTCGTAGCCACAGTCGGCCTCTTCCTCTACTTCAAAGGTGGTGAAGGTCAGCTCGATGCTGTAACCAGCCTCCGCCGTGATCAGCCACTCGCAGTCCGTGTGTCCTGGGTAGTTATTGTCCCCAAACTGGGCATGAGAGTACAGGTTCTTTTGCCTGGCCTCTGCTTTCAGCCTCCCTCCACACTCTACACAGACAGAGTTTTATATTAGAACTTGTTTAAATATTTAAGCAGTTGCAGATAAACAGGTCAACTACTAATTGTCTTTCGTTATTAATGTACATTGCTGTGAAAAAGTATTTGCCCCTCACCTGATTTCTTCTATTTTTGCTAATTTTTTCACATTTAAATGTTTTAGATCATCCAAATAATTTTAATACAAGATAAAGTCAACACAAGTAAACACAAATAGCAGCTTTTAAATGATCATTCCATTTATTGAAGATAAAGATTTTTTCAAAACTTATATTACCCATGTGAAAGAGTAATTGCCCCCTAAACCTAACTTGTTGTGCCACTCTTGGCAGTAACAACTGCACATTGCAACATTTGCAATAACTTGTGATGAGTCTTTTATCGCTATGAAGGACTTTGGCTCCAAACCCTTAATTTTGTTTCTTTTGAGCCATTCAGAGGGGGACTTTCTTGTGTGCTTTAAATCATTGTCCTGCTGCATAACCCAACTGCACTTGAGCTGAAAGTCACAAACTGTCATCCAGGTTTTGCTGAAGCAAAGCAGCCGCAGACCATCACACTACCACCGCCATGTTTGACTGTTGATATGATGTTCTTCTGGTGGAATACGGTGTTAACTGTATGCCAGATGTAACAGGACCCATGCTTTCCAAAAAGCTGAACCTTTGACTCATCAGCCCACAGAATATTATTCCGAACGTTATGGGGGTCATCTAGATGCTTTTTTGGCAAATGCAACACAAGCTTTTGTGTTATTTTTGGTCAGCAGTGGTTTGCACCTTGCAGCTCTCCCATTTTTGCCCAGTGTCTTTCTTGTTGTAGAATCGTGTACAATGACCTTAACTGAGGCAAGTGAGGCCTGCAGTTCTTTAGATGTTCATCTGGGTTCTATTGTGACCTCCTGGATGAGTTGTCGATGCACTCGCGGTGAAATTTTGTTAGGTCAGCCACTCCTGGGAAGGTTCAGCACTGTTCCAAGTTGTTTCTATTTGTGGATAATAACTCTCGCTGTGGTTCGCTGGAGCCCCAGAGCCTTAGCAGTCTCTTTAGAAAGTGGCATCATATGCTGCTTTTTGAGACCTTCTAGCATGCCTCACATTGCCAGACAGGTTCTTTTTAAGTGATGTTTAGATTCAGCAGGTTTGGCAGTAATCATGCCTGGGTGTGGCAGTGAAATTGAACTCAACAGTCAATTGAATTTGGTTAACTGGTTGATTTAGTAGCTAAGGCGGCAATGTTTTCACATAGGGACAGATAGGGCTAAATAGCATTTTTCCCTCAATGAATGAAATCATCTTTTAAAAACAGCATTTTGTGTTTACTTTATTTGTCTAATATTAAAAGTAGTTTCATGATGTGAAACGTTCAAGTGTGACAAAAATGCAAAAAATAGAGAAAATTGGGAAGGGGCAAATACTTTTTCACAGCACTGTATGTAGTGACCATTATTTCCTTTAATCTGTAGGTGATTAAGACCACTCTTGGATGCTTTGCCCAGTTCTTTTACATTCATTATGTTTACTGAACCATTTTTTGTTTATTCATATCTCGTGGTTCAAAAGTAGCTTTACAACTAGTACACAGCTTCACTGTCATGCACTATTTAGCCACTAGAAGGCACTGTTACACAAGTCTGTTTTAGGCACTTTAAGGGCCAGTTAGGAACTACGGAGGACTAGGTAGTTTTTGGTCCTGGGAAAAGCTTTCAAATTACAATACACTTTACAATATTTACAGTAAACTTAGAGGTAACCATTTGCTCTGAGACTTTCAATTCACTTAGAAATATAAGTTTTCCTAAATGTATACCAAAACCCACAGACAGACTGACATACATATGCATACACACACACACCCATAGACTGACCTGTGGAGTGTGTAGCCTGGAAGCCCTTGCGCTGCACTGAGGCATCAGAGATAAAGCGAAGGTACATCTTGTTGCCAGTGGAGACGAGGGGTTCCGGGATCTTGCTGCCACAAAGGCGGCTCAGAATGGCCGCTTTATCTGAGTCACCGTCAAAGGCCTCCAGGTGATCATACGCACACTCCTGATGCTGCTCGATCTCGAATTCACTAAATGTCTGCAGAGAAAAAGAGGAATGGAAGCAGAAAGAAAGTCAGTGAACCAACTGAATTTTGCAACTGTTAAGGCTATCAGAATGGGTGCTAAACTGGGTGTCCAAATGCTGTTTTTAGAGTTTTTTCTCAATTCCTTCAGGGAGAGATGCATTTTGTCCTGTGAAAGTACAGATAACGGGCTAACTTGCAAGCACCAATGTGTTGATGTGGGCTGTTTCTTTCTGTCATGAAACTACTGCGTGAGTTTGTAAAAAACAGAAAACAGTTTTTTACACTGCCTAATGAGCTGCTTGCTCTATTGTTTTGTATATTTATCAGTTTTAATCTATCATCTTTGTTGGTGATGTAGCCTATATAGTAATGATGGAGACACGTTTTGGAAGGTTGTTTATGGACTAATAACTAATATTATAATGTTAAATAATGATTATTGAGAGTGTTTATGGCGTAATATCTCCTATTATAGTGTATAGGAATGATTATTGAAGTTGTTGCAGGATTTATCTCTCTTATTATAGTGTGTTGGATTCTTAAGGTTGTTAATGGACAAATATCTGCTATTGGTCTAATATCTCCTATTATAGTGTATAGAAGTGGTTATTTTTAGTGTATAGGAGTGTTTACTGAGATTGTGGACTACAAGTCCTTATAGTGTAAAGGAGTGTATAGGAGGGTTTACTGAGGATGTTTCTGGACTACTATCTCCTATTATAGTGTACATGAGTGTTTTTGAGTTGTTTATGGACTAAAATCTCCTGTTATAGTTAGTATTAGACTGTTTATTACAGTTGTTTACAGACTACTGTTATCTTCTATTAGAGTGTTTTGGGACGTTTGTTGTGTGATGTATCTCATTAGCAGAGGTTGTGCTGAATCTACTGTTGCCTGGAACAAGAACTGAGAGAAAACATGGATGAAATACACTGAAGGATGATAATGAAGACACACCTTCTGAACTGTTTACTTTTCTTCAACTCTTCAAGCAGTCCATCATTACCATGTTTCTGTTTGTCTCTCAGTTTAGTTCTGCTTGTGTGGCATAAAATGATGTTCCTCCATAGTCACTTGCTTTGAGCGCTTTATTTCTGTTCATGAATATTGAACGTACAAAGACGTTTTCCTAAATGTCTTATTCACATGCCTCAATAAATGTTTTCAGCTTGTCTGTTTAGCTACAAATTAAACACAAATGCAAAGCAGCTGCAAGGGGCCATGTGTTCCCCCTTAGAGACAATGTTGTAATTGGCCAAAAACTTCTAAGGCTTGAAAATGGTCATTATTCATCATTATCAAAGCAGATGTTGGGTGAATATTGGTTGTGGATCAACTGTAACATACACAGGAAACTCGGGTGCCTTTATAAGCTCAAGGAGTCTGTAAATCTGAATCCATTTTTAAACGTTTTAACCCATTTAACTACAAGGAATTGTGGGCAGTTCCAGGGTTCCATACCTCACTCTCGTAACTACATATCGCTGTTGTCAGAAGAAAACCTCGTATCTCCAAAATGGTAACTTTTCAGGAGAAAGAAAAAAACGTACTTTACTTTTAATGTAAGTCAATGGAACCAGACTTTTTCCAAGTCATTTTGGTCCAATCATCATGAAATTTACACACAGTGTAAAGGACAACAGGCATTTTCAAATTATGTCAAAAACTGAAAAACAACAAAAATGGAGATACAAGGTTTTCTTCTGTGATATGCTTCCTGAGTAATTCATGATCGTTTCTGAATAATAAGATTAATAACAGAATCATAAGCCAGGAGAGTAATAGGTTAAAGAAAGGCTACAAGGCTAATGTAGCTAATAAGTAATGGTCACTTACACCTCACTGATCAGCATAGTGCAAACTGCATGTCTAAATCATCACACACTGGCCTCAAACTGCATTGAGCTGTTAAATAGTCTCAAGTAGACTTGCTGATGTGGTTTCTGACACTGTATGGCAGACCGTTATCTATAAAAACGGACAAAACAAAACATCACATCGCTAAAAACAGTGGTATCAGCGACCTAGAAGTCTGAATCTTGTCTGCACTTTCCATTTTTTAAAGATGGTTTTCATGTGGCTCTCTGGCCTCATCTCTTAGCTTTCTCTGCCGTGTGTGCCTCTCTCACACTACTGAGCCATTAAAAGTCACTTAACACCCACACCCAGGCCTCTCAGCAGCTGTCCTGTCAGTGCGAGGTCAGCCATGCCCCTACTGTGATCCCCTGTCCCACAGGAAGTGACTAGAGCTCCTGTTCCCTTTTGATCAGGGGCAGATGGACCCAGGAGCTGTCCGCTAACATGCCATCTCTGACCCCTCTGGCCAGGAGGGACTTCCTGCATTGAACTCAGTATGACACAGTATAGAGTAAAATCATAAAATATGTCAGGGGGATTTTCTGGAAGCAGCTGTTTGTGGGAGTGGGTGATTTATGAGGTTAATACGTTCACTGCAGTGTTTATTTATTCATTTGAGTAGCAAGAGACAGGGGTGTTTTAGCTATGATCAGATGTGTTTGTATATGTAAATATACATAATAGGGGTGCAGGAAAAAAATCGATTCTTAGATGCATTGCGATGCGGACATGAACGATTCTGAATCGATTCACAAATGTCAAAAATCGATTTTCTAAATATTTAATTTGTAACGTAATGTTGACGGAACGCAAAAGGCGAAACTTGGAAGTGCGGAAGTGCAGCGCCCGGACAGTCTGTGGCGGCACATAACAAAAACACTACTGGATGAGTGAGAAATCCGACCGGCTCCCTCTGCATTAAAGCCAGGTTAGGTCAGGAGTCACAACTCAAATGTTAAGAAGAGCCATTTTGACCTTTCAACAAAAATCAAACCACCTTGGGAGCCACAACATTTAATGTCCAGTATGTCTCAGTGTGTGATAATGTCCTAGTATAGACTAAACAATATAAACGAAAACGCAGATTTACTTTGCTGTGCTTTAAGCTTCGCCTACAGCCGCTTTCCTCCCATCTCCGCCAGAAAACTTTCCTTTAGAAGTAGATCAGTTAAATGTCTCTCAACGTTCGACTGTTTTACGACGCTGAAGTCACTTCTTATTCTCTAGCTTCTTGTTCGAATATACCCGTTCCATCTTAAATTCTAACTGAGGCGCCGAATGTAAATACGGCACCATTTAAGGTGGAACGGGAGAATTCGAAAGAGAAGCGACTTCAGCTTCGCCGCTTTTTAGTGTGTGACAGTCTCTTGTTGCAGATTTAACTGCGCTGCTTATAAATGTGAATAACGCATCGTTGCTATGAGACCTGCAGTCTGCACGCTGCTTCTCAGTCGTTGCGAAACAGGGCTTTCGCGCTATGTTTCACACGACCCGTCTCGAAGACATTTTACTGCCACAGCGACCCCCCCGTCTCCAAAACGAGACCAAAACCAAAGTGATAAAATCACTAAAGAAAACAGGTAGAACAGCTGTAACATGTGCTGCGTGGTCATCCATCACCACTGGATCTTATTTCACCGTAACTGCGCATTTTATCACAGATGAGTAGCAGCAGCTTCTTGTGCTCCAAACAAGAGCAGTGAATGAGAGTCTTCTAGTTCACTTGCTACATCACTTCCATTTGTTTTATTAAAAAAGATATTGGAAGTAAATTCATTATTGATCATTACAAATACTTTGCTTTAAAAGTACCAAGTCACTTTAAATAACAACACTGAGTTACTTAGTCACTTTAAAATGTATGTTGTCTCTATATTCTGTGTATATTTTGTGTATATTTAATATATTTCAGTTGGTTTTTCTTGTATTTTTATTTTTACTTATTTACTTTCTGTAGAGTGATTAGCTGAGCCTCACCACAAGCATTTCAATGCATAAATGTCCTGACATGTTGTGCAAATGACAAATAAACTTGAAACTTGAACTTGAAACTTGAGCTCACACAGTGAGAAAATATAAATGCTATATAGAAAAAAAGATGCATCGAGATACATCGATAATCGTTTTATAATCGCATCGCAGCCCTCTGAACCGTAATTGAATCGTGAGGTGGCTAGAGATTCCCACCCCTAATACATAACATATACAGAAGTCACATAAATAAAAAGTCATAACTGAGTGGGCAAATTTGTCAGAAAAATTGACATATTAGCGACAAAAAGAAGGAAAACACATTTTTAACTTATATAACAAATTAACACATAACAAATTAACATAACAGTATATTACTCTAAGTCATTTTGGACTGTTTCTGTTGGTCCATCCGTCATGAAATTTTAACACAATGTAAACTGCACTGTAAATACTCAACTTATGTTAAAAATTGAGATACGGGGTGTTCAAAACTGAAACTATTCATTCTATAACTATATTTTCAGAGCTCATGAAGAGATGGTAAAACTCTTGCATGAGTGCAAACAGTTTCAGGAATTTGTCCAACCAAAGAAAGTCAGAAAAGTGCAGAGAGAAGACAGCAATTGATTCTATTTTTGGTCTACTTGGACGTCTTTTGTCCGTTTCACATTCATACTTCAAATGAACCGCACCTGAGTGGTCCTCTTTAGTAAGTCTTGGCCTACTTGTTTGGTGCACACTAGAGTTCGAATAGCAGCATTCTCACCAGAGCAATCGCACCAGTGTTTGTTTTTTTTTTAAATAAAGACCTGTCAATTTCCCTTAACGTGAAAAAAAATCCATAGTATTACATTGCCTTTTATGGGTTAAATATGAAAAAGATGAAAAAGTTAAGTCAGAGTGTGCATGTGTATGTGAGACAGGAGATTATACGTGTGTATACGTGAGAGAAAACCAGAACGAGTGTGCGCGCTGTCCTGTCGAGAGCATTTGCCTGCAAACGTGAGCACGCTCTGATAGGATTATGAGTGTGTGATGGCGTTGCTGATCTCGTGTGCGCAACACGCTTCCCTGTCTCTCTGTCCTTAACTCTCCAGGATAGTGAGGAACCTCAACTTTAATCCAGTTCTGTCTGCATTTAGCAGCATACCAGCATACTGCTATTCAATAAAAACGTGACAAACACGTCTAGCACAGGAGCTCTACCATGACAAAGTAGTTGTAAATCTATAACAGTGTAAAGACGTACACTGCATAGCTAAAAACACAGTAGTGACTGTCATCTCAAAGCCTTTATACATTTTAATAAATAAAAGTATACCAGACAGTGTTAGAGTATACGACTATACCATATATGTGTTTAAGATTACTTAACAACTTAAACTTGAATTGGTAGGGTATAAACTTTTTTTGCGAGCTAAAGCCTCATAGCTCCAGTGCAAGGCTAAAAAAAGAACCATAACAAATCAAGTTTTGCTGACTGACTACATTTGGGGTAAGCAGACATCCATAGTGTTCTACTGTTTGACACTGTCTGATGTATTGAGATTTTGATATATTGATTGACATAAGCATTCAAACATGTTATAAGCAGGTTATGCATGTGTGAATAATAGTTTTAATAGAGGCCTCCACATAAATGTGTGACTGTGTATTGTAGAGGCTTTTATTACTGTATTCACTCACAATTTTGACCCGGTGACCCGGCGTAGCGGTGATGTCCCACGTGCATTCCTTCCTGCTGGGGTATTTATCGGGCCAGTTGGGGCTGCTGATGGTGCCGCTGGGGCTGTGGATTGTGTGCTCACACTCAGCTTCAGGCCATGAACCAAACAGAAGGGCAGAGAGAAGGGAAGAAGGGATGATCGACAAATAGAGAAAGAAGGGAGCAAGAGGAGGAGAAGGGAAAGAGAAAGACAAAGACATGGGGGACATAAAGTAATGAAATTAAAAATTCAACTGTAAATGAGTTAAAAGCTAACATAAGTTCAATACAATAAGAGTTAGAATGAGCTTTAGTATGAGTAGAAATTTCATCTGATCTAAACGAACACTGAAAGGCTAGTGAAACTGCACAAGGCTCACAGTGACTGGTTTCACACTGCTCGTGTTAACTGAACCTTTAAAAATCTAAATTTATTGTGATTTTACTATGCATTTGATTTACATTGCATAAATAATTTAAATATAATTATTGGAGATTAATCATTGGTTGATGGATAACTCTAGAAGGCTGAAAATGCTGAATCACATATTCAATTCTGTAACAAATCTGTCCTGAAATAGCACACGCTCATATTGTGTGATGTGATGTTGTCAGCTGTTTAGTTCTTTCTGTGGGGGAGCAGAGTGATCGAGTAGAGTACAATAGCCTGCTTATAGATGTTTTAGGGCTTCAATTACAAGTACCTAATTTCAAAGCTTTTTAAAGCTTTTTTAAGTAGTTTTTAAAGAAAAAAAATCTGACTCGTATTAGTATTGGTTTGACACTGAAGGTTTTCATGTCACTTGTTTCAATAAGCTATGAGTAGGAAATAACAGCATGCATTAGGACTGCTAAGGGTTAACTGAACTTCTGTCATCCTGCATGGTAATAAGGGAAATGTAATCTAAACCTCAGAAAACTCTGTGAATGTTGTCATGCACTGACATGGCGAGCCCTGGCCTGTCATAACCAGCCTCAGACTGTATCAAACCTTAAAGGGGAGTTCCACTGATTTTTGAAAATTTTGTAATTAAATCAATAAGATGTAAACAAAGTCATTCAGAGTTGTTTGATGTGATGTTGCTCCATTCTGGAGAAACCTACTGAGAAATGTTCACAGTGGTGGTGATGGAGGAACCAGACATCTGAAGAGTTTCATGCCACTAAAAGCTACATCGCAGAAAGTTATTACACAACAAATGAATATGCTGCCTGATGATGATGTGTCATACATTGTTTTGTGAACTTTAAGAAGATTTTGGCCTATAATGTAAGGCAAAGTTATACCCGAAGAGATTTATTTTTTCATATTTAATCATTACATATATAAACTGGAAGACGTATAGGTTCAGTGATTTAGATAGTAAATAAAATGGTTATATTTGTGTTGTGGAAATCTTGACCACCGGTTCCCCTCACCACCACTGTGAAGAAATCAGAGTCAGTAAGTTTCTCTACCATGCATTTCACATCAAACCACTCTGAATGACTTTGTTTGCATCTCAACCACTGAATTATGCAGATATTTTAAAGATCAGTGGAATTAAACCCTGTGTCTTCACTGACTAGAGCTGAAATTTGCTCTTCTACTGGAGTGATCATGGTAAGAATGTACTCGGAAACTTTGGCTCAGAACCAGACTCTGTTCCAGTCTCAGGCTGCTTAGCCTTTCCTCAGGTTCCCTGAGCCAATACGGTCACCTGAGATGCACCTTTAAGAGACCAGCGTACTTCCCTTCAGAGCTTCCCTTTAAAAACACTTTAACCCTTAGAAGCCGTAATAATTGTCAGGACAGTATAATTCTATTAATACCACGTTTGTATTTTCAAATAGAAGAAAAACATGACTTAGATTTTTGCCATGTTTTTGCTATTTGTTGATATTAAAAGACTCAAACCTGTTTGCAACAAACTGTAAACGTATTTCAACCCCTTAAATGGCCAGGACCCACCGGCAGGCCCAAAGTTTTTTACACACTTCTATAACCTGAGAATAGCTCAGCAGTTTGCACTGAAGTCCCTGTAGTTACTGTAGTATGTAATAAGCATTGGATTTTAAGGGGTTAAGACAGATTCTGTTCATTCTCAACTCCAAGAGAAAAGAGTTTCTCCCTCAGGGAAAAACTGAGTCAAGCTGATGAGAAGCTCTCGGCCATATGTCTTAAAACAAAAATAGGCTGAGATCTCCACATTAAAAGAAGGCCACCCCACCCTCTAGTTTAAAAAGATATTAGTCACTAGTCAAGTCATACCTTTATGTGTGTGTGTGTGTCTGTTTGATTCATTACACTCAAGGCTACCCTGACAAGGAACCTGCTGTGACGCAAAGGAACTGGGCCAGACAAACATTTTCACTAAAACCCTGCAGACAGAAAAGAGAGAGCGTGTGTGTGTATTTATGTAAAATTTGGGCGATACAGTCTTTCACTGTTAACCTTGTCTTACCTAACATCTCATCAACAATATGTTTGGAGTAGGGATGCATGGAAACTTTGGCCACCAAATTATTGGCAAATGAATGAATAAATAAGTCTACAACTAAGTGTCAAAGCCAAATACTGAAAAAATTATTGTTCAGGATTGGGCTTTGACACTAATGAAAATGAGAAATAGTGACTAAAAACGCTGTGCGTTTGCTTTTCTGCGTCAGATAGTGCAGATGTATTTAAACAGTTTGAGCGGCAGCAGATAAACACTACAAATGTCGGCCGGGTGGAACTATTTAACAGTTTCTAGCAAGGACATTAAGCAAGATATTTGTCATCAGTGTTCATAGAAGTATCGAAAGCATGCACACTACGGACTTGAAAAAACATGACATCTGGTAACATGACATCTGGCGCAATACACAGAATACAGCAAAACAAGCAGCAACAGAAACGTCCCAGCGAGCATGCTGACAAAATCTGTTTACAATTATTTTCGAAATGATGAAAAATTCACAAGCGACATTATAACCAAAAATAAATAATGGAATCCATTGCCTTGGATGACCAACCATTCTCTGATCGTGAGGACACTGGATTACATACAGTGCAGTCATTTCAGAAACTTTGTTAACTGTATTAAATAATTTTCAGCCCAGTTTTGTCCTGTTGGTTTTTTTTTCTTCATTGCATTGAAAATTCTTAACAGTTTTCAGTCAAGAATTTGAATCCTGCTTTATTTTGCATTGTGATAGTTTGAGCACACGTTCAGAACGCAATTCAGATTACTACAGAAATGCTTTTTATTGATTCGTTTCATCAGAGTAACAATAAAAGCTAAAATAAAAGTAAAAATAAAATTTTCTGAATGGATCACAGATGACACACTTATTTCAGCTGGGTTAAAGGAAAACAGTGAAGTCAGGAAGAGTCATTTTTTGTCTCTGTATTATAGAGCTAAATGCTGTATCAACAGCTCCAATACTAATCTCTGTTTCTGCATTATAACGTTCTGCACCACACACACCCAGCGCACACACACACATAGAGAAAGACAAATGCGTAAATCTGGTTAAGCCTATTCTTCTCTCCCAAATTTAGGTCAGTGTCCATTAGAGCACAAAGGTATTTCCACCCTGAGGTCAGGACACTCAGGAAATCTATTACAGAGTCACTGCCTATGGCTCACACACTCTCACCACATTGAACGCTGAGGCTGGGGGCACCACTGCTTTGAGTGTGTGCCATGAAGGAAGTAATGCATTGAATTTACTCGATTCAAAGCTGTACATCGTTTTCACGAGGGCTGCAACAGATATTCAAGAATACATTTATAGCTCAATAAATTTGACGATTAAACTAACCCACACATCTGTGGAGAAACAAATGTTTGTTTATCAGTCTTAATGGTAGCTTGTAACAGCATGCAGTTGCCAGTCCTGCACACCAGACTCATTTGAGATTGTGATATGGCATGGTTTGCGAGACGTTTATTATTTGAGGCAACAGTACAGGTCTCAACTCCAGGTGCAGTCCAAATAAGTTTCCTACAGCTCTAGATCACTAGCTAGTCTGTTCACAGTTGCATTTAAGATGCAGGTGAGAAACACTGCTGAAAATTGACATGGCTGAGTTTAGTGTATGCGTTGGTATAAAGTAGTTTTGAGCTTAAAAACCTTGATCAGCCCACTAAAGTAAAATATGACTTGAGCATTTCTGATCCCTTTAGACCCGTTTTTCTTAATCCTGCTCCTGGAGACCCACAGCACTGCACGGTTTAGAGTGTTCCTGGCTCAGCTCACCTGATCCAGCTCTTGAAGAGCTCAATAATCAGTTGGTGAGCTGCATTTGTGTATTGAGTCAAGGAATACTTGAAACTATGCAGTACTGTGGGTCACCAGGAGTAGGATTAAGAAAGTCTGTTATAGAATATTTGAATATTCAAGATAATATTAAATAAATAAACAATAATATTGAATTTTTTTTTGCATTAAATGCAAAACATGATTACTACTACTATATTGACATTTAATCAAACATAATATTATATGACAGATATTATTTCTTGTGATAATTATTTGCAAAAATATTTAGACTGAACACGTGACTGCTCTGGCAAAATGCAAGCCCGACATAACCAACACAGTTAGCTGGTTATGTTTATATTTTCATTGCAAGTCAACATAAACCCTCTTTTTGATTGTATCCATCACTGATAAAAAGCTTCAAACAGATTTTTCCAGATAGTTTTGGTTGATTATACAGTCAGGAGAAGTTCAATACCTTCAGTATTGTGTTTTATATTTGCTTGCATTTAAACAAGTTGAACTTGTTGAAACAAGGGAGTTAAATCTTGTTGTGGGATGTGGAAGCTTTTGTGTTCAGTTGTGTGGGTTGCAAAAGGTTGGGAAGCCCTGCAACAGAATATTCAAAAAGTCAGCACATATAGATCAACTCAGTTACTGCTAAAAGTAAGTAAACTCAAAGACAAAATGCTGATTAATATTTATTCATGTGGAAATGATGTACAGATATAAATCAAATTAAGTGCATTACATACCCCTCAGAGTAAGAAGGGGTAGAATACACACAAGTCAAAAGTGCATCTACATGACGGTGAATATAGGGTGTGATCATGTGATCATGAATAAGCGATGCTCTGTGTATCAGCCCATAGGCATCTGTGTTGCTCCAGAAAGCCTCTCTCTCTCTCTGTTCTACATTTCACTTGGCTTTTCTTCTCTAAATAATCCACTTAAATCAGGCTTCCAACTAAAACCCTCATTAGAGAATATTTCTTATTTTAGACCAGGTCCGGTACGCACAATAGTGGGCTGTAGTTATAATATGCACATTTCCTTTGTTAATGGTAAATACAGTTTACTGAATAATGTGGTGTTTTGTGTTTAGCCGGGCCAAAATGATTAATGAGTGTTTAATTAGCATTACCGTACTAAAATGAGAGTTTGTCCAAGGGTGGTTTCTGACTTTGAAAGCGTACTGGTAATTTGTGAAAGAAACATTGTTTATTCACTCAAACTTTGTTCCAAAGTACACAGTGTGGACCTCAGGTGTTTGCCCTGTACCAGTCAAAAGTTTGAACAAATGTATGATTCTCAATGAATCTGAATTAATTTCCCTGATCTCCTTATTTATCTTTTTCCGGTAAAATATATTTTTTTTCTGGAAAATATGTTGTTTTTTTCCTAATAAAAAGTTATCGCCCAGTTATCGCTCAAATCTGTACATTATTATTCTTTTTTTAAAAACTTTGATTACTCAATTAACCATCAAAATATTCATTAGATTACATAATTACTCAATAATCAATAGTGACAGCCCTTATTCATAATACTTTTCCTGTTTTAAAATAATAATAAAGACGTCAAAATTATAAAGTAACACATATGATGTTGCTACACATAAATACAGGCCTTTTACAAAGCTATTTATGGCCTGTTTACACTCTGCATAAACATGCGTTTGCGGGGATCAGATCATGTTCACATTCTACCGCATGAAAAGCCAGGTGTAAACACATCTAGGAAACACTGCGAGCGGACTGCAATCGGATCACTCAAACCACGTTTGAAGGTGGTCAGAGATGGATCTCGGCCACATTTAACAAAAGTGTAAACGAATGCGTTTTTGATATCTGTATACAGTAACGTGAGCGGAAACGTGTCTGCTGAGTGCTGAGTTGCTAAACAAGGCAACAAAAGATGGAGGATACGCAAGGCTTAAGTTAAACCCAAACAAAGAGACTTCATGCACTCCAGGCCAAGCTTATCCACTCTTACAGTAAGAGGGAAAAGAGTAAACAAAAGTAAAACAAAAACGGTGCACATGTTGATGAGCTTTTCATGCAGGAAAGTAAAATCGGATCTCATGTGGTCAAACTGGGGACACACTTTAGTGAAAAGTGTACATGGAATCTGGCCAAAGTTTATACAGATACGATTCGGACAAGAAACATATGTTGATGCAAGGTGTAAACAGGCTCTTAGATCCACCTCACCTCAGAACACATCTGACTGGCTTAACAAAGACAGACAATGAACTAGTGAACTTTTAACAAGGCACACATGAGTAATTAGGATAACAGGTTAGGTTAACTGAAGGGCAGCATCTGTAATGCTTAATGACCCTTTCATGACATCTGACATAAAGCTGCATGAACTTTTATAAAGAATTAGTCCAACAAGTGTCAGTTGTCATAGAGGCTGCTTTGATCCATTTTGTTGTGATTTCAGCTAGGCCAACAATGCTTTGGATGAGCCTTTATAAATGTCTGCATTATGTCAGTTGTCATGAAAGGCTTATGTTGATGTCAGGTAATCCTGTGAATGCTGCCCTACATAAAGTGTTACAGTAAAGTGACAAGTGGTTTATCCCTCACAGGGATCAAACTGGCAGTCTCCTTGTTAAGGACCCAGAACGCTATGGGTTAAGCCACTGGCCAAGCACAAGAAGGTGGGCTCAAGTGCAGAGCAGCAGAGACTCAGAAAAGAACGTATATGCAAAGAAAATCAATAATAAGCCCTCAGGGAGAACAGAAGGCTTCAAACAAATAACTAGAAAATAAAATGAAAAGCTCAAGAATGTTATTAGTCAAAGGCAGACTCGAACCTCCGACTTGAAAGGCTGGAGCACGCCACTGAAGCGGATAACAATGACAATGAATTCAAGATGCCTCAAAATAAAAATAAAAAATTCCTTTCTTTATTTATTTTGGTTTGTTTGCCTCATTCCCCCTTTTCCTTTTGATGTCTGGGAGTAAGAAAACGCAAAAGCTTTTTTTTTTTTTAATACTTACGCTGAAGTACTTACTCGGTAAAGCCAAAGGATCACAAAACCCAAGACTCAAGAGAGGGGACCAATACCAGTACCAGCTTAGTGAGATGTGCATGTGGCAATGTGAACTCAAGACTGAGCTGAGAGCTGACTGTGAGCTCTCCTTAAATAAGGGGTTCAACAGTTGACACCGATCTGCCCTAATCAGGTTCTCTGTGACCCCCTCGTGGCTGGAGGTGGAGTGGCAGGAGGCAAGGATGTTATAGTTACTGGATAATGTAATTACTGTGTGGGTTGTGGTTTTCTTTTGTAATCACTAAATTTCATTGAAGTTCTAAATGAAAACGTTTTGTAGGGTGAGCATTTCAAAAATAGTTTTTAAACTTTATCTTGGTTTTAGAAACAAATTCACATATAGGCATCAACTTCACTATTTAAATTTGCCTTTGAAACAATTTTAACGATTATTGTTCCCCCAATACCACATCTGTGTTTGTAAGGATATTTTATGATTTGAATTTGACGAAACGCTATTGTTGTGTTTAGTCTTGCTTTGCAGAAAGAAAAAAACATCCTTTACATTTTTGCCATGTTTGTCATTTGTTGGCATTGAAACAGCCAGAAAAAAAGTCATAAGCGCAGACTCAAACCTCTCGATATAGAATGTAAATCAAAGATTAATGTAATTTATTATGTAATTAACTACAGCATTAATTATGCAATTTCTTAATTACATTTGAATAGTACAGTAAAACAAAGTAGTAACTATCAACTTTTAAGGGTTAAACCATTTAAGCAGAAGCCGTTAGATCAAGATATCCTTAAGAAATTGATAAATATACTATCAGTTGTGTGTGTGCAAACTTTTGAATGGTGTTTCAGTTTAGCAGACTAAAAAATTGCATTGTAGTCCATGTTGTTACTGAATAATAAGGCTTATTTCATGTAATAAGCATAAGATTTAAAATAGTTAACAGTAAATTTCATACAGTTATTATTCGGGTAACTTACTATCTCATGTTCAATTAAACTTTAAATTTTAAAACAGCACAGTTTGCTTAATCTTTTGTAATTATAAATGTTTTTGCAATGTATTTAGATGTGCAAAACCCACTCACACACACTCACACACACACACACACACACACACACACACACACACACACCAAGAAAAACAGAAGCAGTATAGGGTCTTTGAAGATTCATGAAAGCCCAGATGTTTAAAATCAAAGTGGGTTAACTGCCCTTGAAGAGACACTGAGGTTTTCATGTGTGTATGTCTATATATGTGTATGCAATGTGCATATGTATGGTTGTGTGTGTATGTGAGTGTGTGTGTGTGTGTGTGTGTGTGTGTGTGTGTGTGTGTGTGTGTGTGTATTCCAGGATGTAGCTGGTTTAACTTCTCGACCCTGACTCTCTGACTCTGGAGTTGAAAGCATAATATCTCTGTCCTCCTCTCCCAGGTCTGTCTGTTTTCTTTTATAAAGATACACACACACACGCTCCACATGGGAGAGAAGCTGCTTTAAATTTTCCAAACCACACTGCCACGTTAAAGACATGCATGGCAGCAAAGCTCTCACAGCATCATGAAAGGCAGCACTGCACCATCCTGCACACACATGACCTAAACACTTCAACATGCTGGAGAAAGGCCACAAAGCCTGCACTGCTGCTGCAGAATACCTTTTAATGACAACTGAAAAAACAGCATGGTGCCTAGTAGCCATGATTTGAAGCACATATTTTGTCTGTACCTTTGTGTTAGAAACCACATAATGTAGTCTTCTAATCTAATCAAGTCTTTTTGAGGTTACTGAACAACTCAACTTACGATATACATCAGCTTCCATTACTTGTTTGCTACACCGGCCTTAGAGTTCCAGTGCAAAGCTAAAAAAAGAATCTTTGACCCTGTCTAACCGAGCATCTGGCCAGCGATCCATTCTGAGAATTTAGTGATGGTCACTTAAACTCTTATAAATCTGCCACCAGAGGAATTCCAGCATGTACACGTCCACGCTTGTGAGAATGAATTGTTTCGGCATGTCGAGTTGGAGCTTTCTGTGTGCTGCTGAGTTTCTATCACTGTACAAAAGCTGGACGAGGCTTCCTTTTTTGTTTGTCAGTTTGATCTTATCAGCTCAGCAAGAGCTTATTATTGGTATGTTTCAACAGTGTAATTATAAAACATGACTGATGTTTGACTTCTATTCCTATTTATGGTTTCGTCTACAAATGGTAGTTTGTGACACAAACTAAATACAAATCGTGCAAATCATGAAAACAGAGAAGAGCAGATTAAACGGTAGAAATAGTTACAGTTCGTTTGCCTGAAAAGGTTAAACAAATTTGTCTTGCCTGATTACAATTGAATAATAAATCTTACAATTGAGGTAAGATTTAAATATTTAAATATGAGTTTTTGGCCAATCTCTCAGTTTTCTGGTCGTTCTATGACTTTGAAGGCCAATCACATCAAAGTCTTACAGCAACTTGAGGCCTTTGAGCCTTTTAATTGTGAAAAGCTGAGCTGATGTAAAGAAGGTGGTATAACAACTACGTCACCACATGGTAAGAGAAAACTGTAACAGTTAAACTGTTGTGTGTGTGTACCTTCTTTGCAGTCATGTTTGTTCTCATGCAGAACAAAGCCGTTGCGGCACTGACACACGTAGCTGCCGATGGTGTTGATGCACTCATGCTGGCATCCTCCGTTATCCTTAGAACACTCGTCCTTATCTGACACACAACAGAGAAAAAACACCACGGTCAGTCAGAGAGAGAGAGAGAAAGAGAGAGGGAGAGAGAGAAAGAGAGAGAGAGAGAGGGAGACACGTCTGAGATGACACAACCAAAAGTGGCATCTCTCAGTCAGATAGATTACTGTAAAAAACGTATTCAGTAACTGCTGTTTTAAGAATAAAGTAAACCCCAGTGTGAATATTAGTGCAGTTACTCCAAAGTCTTCTATGCTAAGCAGCTTTTTTACACTTCTTTTATTCAATTCTTGAACACAAGAATTTCATTTTGACAAAGCAAACGCAGAAAAGAAGTGTGTTTGTTATGTAAGTGATAAAAAGTCAATCCGTTTGACCTGTAACAAAATGGAAGTGAAGAAAATTGTGAGACAGTTCATCCCTCTTTGAAAGCAAGAGGACAGAACAAGAGTGCATTCCCTTATTCTAGAAGAAAGAGACATGAAAGAAAAAACAAAGTACACACCAAAAGTAATACCAGAAGGTTAATGGAAGAATGGATACATGTAATGTATGTGTAATGTATGTGGCTCTGTATACGTACTAAATGGGAATTCTGCTGAACTTTTGAAATTTCTGCTTAATTCAGTATAAAGATATAAACAGAGTCACTCAGTGTGGTTTGATATGAAATGGTTCCCTGTAGAGAATATTACCCATTCTTATTCGTTTACAGTGGAGGTTATAGTACGATAGTCACGATATAGATATAACACAACTATAGACACTTTATTTGATAACCAAAATAACCAGTGAACCCACACATGCCTCTGATTTTATATATGCAGTGTTGATGATGGAAGAATAGTGGTAAATGTGAAAAAATTTTTTTTAAAAAAGGCCAAAACCGTATCTCAAAACTATCGTTGAGCAACATCTTGGACATCAGGCAACATGTTTGTGTTAAAAAAGAGATGTAGCTTTTAGAGGCATTAAACTCTTTGGACATCTGGTTTCTATCACCACCACTGTGACCAGTTGTGACTCAGTAAGTTTCTGTAAAACGGAGCATTTCACATTCACACTCTGAATGACTTTGTTGACATCTTAACCATTAAATTATGCAGAACATTTTAAAAATGGATGGGAAGGTGCTGTCAATTCATTTCAGACATTCTCCAATACAGGTGATAGAAAAAGAGCAGCTAATCTGCCAAATAGAATCACACATTTAAACTAGATCTAGACTTGCTCTTCATTTGCTTTGCCCTGTTAATACTGTATTACCACCACAATCTGCAGTTATCAAATGACTTTTATCAGTAAACTGCTTTGATCAGGAGCTTGTAGCTTGTATTGTATTTCCCTTCAGACACAAGCCTTACTTTTTGGTCCTTGTATTTTACCATGACTAATTCAGCATTATCAAGCTATTCTGAATGCTCTGCTGGCTTCAAACTTCTGACCGCACACACACACTCACACACACACACACACACACACAGGGATTAGGAGTGTGTGGGAGGCCTGCGGGGACCTCCCCAAACCTGCTGGCACAGGGCCAACAGAGATCTAACGTGGGAGCCTCCTGACAATGACTGAGCTGCTTTTCACATTCACTCAGCTCATCCATTCAACGGGATTCTCTCTCTCTCCCACTCTCTCTCACTCTCTTTCTCTCCCTCTCTCTCCATCTTTCACATATTTTATGCCTTTGTCTCGGTAACCCCCTTCCGACTGTCTCTTTCTTTCTTTCACTCTCTAAACTGGTCCTCTGTACACCTTCATTCAGGTTTGTCTCCATCATTTTCCAGATCTTTGAATCCTTCCAGTGGCTTGTTGCAATGAAGATTTCCAATTTTTTTGTGCTGTGTGATTAAATATATCCATACATCCAAATAAATACTTCATTCAACAATCAAACTTAAACCTAAAGCTCAAAACTTATGTCACACTGGCCAAACCAAAGGCCTGTTTTCTGTTTTATACATCATTAGCCAATCTAAATCACACTACTTTTAATGTTATTTCCTTAAAAAGGAAAAAGCACATCTTAGGAGAGCCCATGATTGCCATTAGTGCTCTGGAGTCTGTTCATTCAGCAACTACATTAATAATGTTGGTTGTTTTTGAGTCATTATGAAAGATTGGCAAAATACGCTTGGTTTATGTAAATGATTCATAGTAAAGGTTCTAATGGAATTAAATATGTTTAAGAAAATTAAAAGAAAAAAACATAATCATCGACTCACACATACTGGCTGTTAGTGAGAAGAAAGCTGTGGGATGAAAGTCAAGATTCCAAAGACCACCCATTAGTCAGGAAAATAAATCCACTAGAAAAAACAATGTTTTGAGTGTTATGGGCCAACCTCAAACGAATCAATCTTTCGATTGAATCTGTCATTAGATCAACAAATGCCAAAAACACCACACATTTGTTGCCATAGAGATAGTGTCCCATTTCCAGCACTGACTATGGAAAGCCCAGAGTACACAAGGGCCAAACCGTGGCTCAGAACCAGTCAGGGAAGAGGCCATACCTGTGACCTGCCCTGAGGCGGCCTGTCGGCCAATCAAACGGACAAATGGAGGTGGAGCTACATCCTGGCAGGACAAAAAAATAAAAAGTCGCTCCATGCAGGAGGCGGGCTTATCTGTAAAAGAGAACGCCCCCCAATATCACACACTTTACATCAGTAAGCCTCAGAAGTCGCATAAGTCTGCAGAAAAACACAGCCATATTGTAATTTCATATGAATTACATCTCACTCAAAAGTGTAGATCCTAAACTTTCAATCAATACCACCTGTCAATACATAGAAAAATCTAATGTAAATGTGATTCATTATGTACTAATGTAATAAATTACTGGGCAAAGTCAGAGACCTGCCTTCATTTATTTAATTTCCAGTCAAAATGCCCATTATGTACACCTTTTTGAGGAGATATTTATTAGGAGATTAAATATAAGATAATCCACTTATATAAGGAAAATAAGTGAAAAAACAGGAGTCCAAAAAATTATTAAAAGATACATATAAAATGGAGCTCCTAACAACTGTGCAAGACCTGTTAGACCACAAAACTTTCAGATAGACAGTACTTAAAGCTCTTGCTTAAGATCTAAAACAATCCACAGGTGTTTCTGTCCATCCTTCCCCTAAAAGAAAACAATTCAATGCTATGAGCCTTAATATCACTGAATGGGTTTGGATTACTTGGTTTATGTTACCTCATAAACTTTGGTGGTATGAAAAAATATCTTTAATTTCTTTGAAAACTGAAAGTACGTCTCCCAAAAAAGAACGAAAGCAAATTAGGGCAAGCACTAAATAATGAAAAAATTATGTTTTGTTATGTTTTCTGTTTCCTCTGATACTGGAAAATGAATAACCTGGAACTAATGGCCATTTGGACTGGAAATTAAACAAATCATGTACTGTAATTATGTGCGTATTTAAATAATTATGCAAATATATACCAAAAATAATGCAATAATAACTCTGGACTTCTAGGGGCTCTTACTGAAAACAGCTTAACATCTTAAGTGCACAAACAAAGCACTATTCACTCTTTCACATGTCCATCTAAAATAGACAGGTAATGACTTATAACTAACATAAACGACTCGCAAACTTGACAGACACCCAATTTTTCAAAATATCTGAAGACAACCGGGGTGTGAGAATGTGTAAATCCAAACCCTGTTCAATAAAAATCTCTCCAGTACTGCAAGCTTCTCAGGACACAGCTCTGTGAGAAAGGACAGGGTTAGCAAAACAGCACAACTGGCGAAAATATTTGAAAAACCTTTTGAAATCCACACCAAAAAACATTTATGAAACCAATCTTGGGCAGAAATGAAAAAACACAAGATCAAAAGACTTCGGAGGTTCTATCAGGTCCCTAGTCTCCTGCTGGAAATAAAAAACCTTCTCTCATAGGCCAGGTCCTCGCCAGGGCCGGTTTGTTTTCTGCAGCTATGCTGTTTCTCAATTAGTGGTAAGAGAGGGTGTGAACCTTCACGGTGTCATGGTTTGGTCAGTTATGGATTTGTGGACACAGTTGGTCTTACCGGAAAAGAAGTGAGCTTTGAAGCCTTTCTTGGAGACGGTGTTGTCTGACTTGAACTCGATGCGCATGTTGTTGTACTGGGAAGTGATGACCTCAGGCACCTCCGTGCCACAATATTTCCCATGAAGCTTAGAGTCCGACGACAAGCCGCTCCGCACTTCCACGAAGTCGTACTTACACACCTTTAGAGACAGAACACAAACAAACAGGCTATGGAGTATAACAAACATAGTCTCATTATGTATACTGCATAATTTGTCAAAGTTTGGAATCACTGTTTTCAATACTTTAAAAGCAATTTGCTGCATAATATATACATATATATGCACATATAATTAAAATAAATTTATAAAATAGTTTATAAGGATGCGGGTACTCTTCACAGACTTCAAATAATTTATAGGAAGCTGTGAAAAATTATACAAAATAGACTATAACCGTAAAAGACCACATGATTACAAGTTTATGACAACACGTGAAAAGACAGCTAATAAATTGTAATCGGACCACTGGGGAAAAAACATCAATTGTGACTGTGCGATTTAAAAACACCCATGTTCCCACATGATTAGATGTGACTGAATAGTTGAGAAATTCCCACACGGAGATTTATACTTGATTAAAAAAGTGTCCGCCCTTAGAGATCCAAATGTAGGCAGGAATGTACACACTCACACACTTTCTAGGCAAAGATTCAAGTCATTTGACTTAATTCACTGAATTTATTATTATTTTTTAATTGTTCACTGATTAGTGTTTCACGACTGTGGAACAGCACAGAAACCACAGCAGCATCAGTGACTAAACTAGAAGGGGAAAGTCCGTGAATAATGCTTCAAGAGTTAAAGCAGCTGCACAACACTGTTGACTGTTTTGGATAACTTAAAATTGGGTTTATACAGTAATTCCAGGTAGTTGCTATGGTCTTGCTACAGTGTTGCTTTGATGATATACCAGCTTGGTGGTTGTTAGGTGGTTACTAATGGTTGCTAGGAAGTTGCTATGGTATCCCCGATGTCTGCTAAGGTGTTGCTAGGCCATGCTATGATATCCCAGATGGCTGCTAAGGTGTTGCTAGGCCATGCCATGATATCCCAGATGACTGCTAAGGTGTTGCTAGGTGACTGCTAGTTTCGTGGTTCCAGCTCAAAACCCGACCCTTAAAAATGGTACAAAAAAGCATGGAATATTAAAACTATGAACAGCTTTGTCAAGCCAAATTAAGAAACAGTTCTGCAAGCTCATGAATATGCTAGATATGAAAATTGTAACAACATCACCACTAATTAGGCTACATATAAACCTCTTGGCTTGAAGTCAGCTTAATTTAAACAAATGAATTGCCCTAGATGTGAATTCCTTCAACTCTCAACAAGATAGTAATGTTGCCCTAGTATTATAGGTCATTTTGAAGGAATCTTTAAAAAAGTTGACTCAGTTTAGTTTATTTACCCAAAAGATTTTCATATACAACAAACACACAACCTACCCAACATTCCGATTCAATCCACAGTCAAGAGATACATTATATTTGCATATTTTCAGTTCACCTTGAAAACGAGACACACAAATCTAAGAAATGTAAAACTTGTACTTAGTAACTTATACTTGTGCATAACCACACTGTCCCCACCTCGTTCCCCTCCAGCTCGAAGGCTTCAAACTGCATGGATATGCGGTACTGTGTGGGGGCAACCACCTGCCACACACAGTTCTTATTGGGAGGGTATTCTTTAGGCCAGCCTGGGGTAGTAATCGTCCCATTCAGCTTAGACAGTAAACCTCCACATGCAGCTGAGAGAAAGAAAGACAGAGAAATCATGGCATCTATCCTGCGTTACTAACATGTTCATTTAGTTAAATCTTAAGCCTCTCCACATTAAAACCGAGTTTAAAACTTCAATGGTTTCATAGTTATTCCAGTGGCACTACAGTGACTCAGACTGTAAAGTACTTATTAAAGATCCACAAAAACGTATGTGTGTGTGGTTGTGTGTGTATATACAGTGGCACCAAAAGGTTTTTGGAGACTTTATCCATTTAACCATTGGTAAACTTCAATGAAGTTCTTTAGATTACCTCATAAAATGTTTAACAACATAATATTTGTTTCAGATCAAAAATACTTTTAGCACAAACTGATGATAGACTCTTTAACTGCACTAAGGCTACTGTAAAGCACCCAGGGGCAAATGTGAAAGTCCAGGGCTGTTTTTCTTACAGTGGTGCCAGTGAACTTGGGTTCGTTGATGGGATTAGGAACTCAGAAGTGTACAGAGATATTTTGGATGCAAACCTGCATTGTTCCAAAAAATTTCCAAAATGACAGTTTTGGAATGGTCTGTTTATAAACTAAATGCCACTTGGTTTGACATTTTTTTTCCTAACACAATGAACTTAATAAATAAATTAATAAATAAATAAATAGATTTCTTATGTATGGCACAAATGTCCAATTACTTTTTGAGGTGGCTGTATCTGGAGAGTGGTAACAGTGTGTGAGGCACAGGGCTGTGTACAGCCACTTTCAAACATGAATTTAATGGTAATAAAACAGGTAGGGGTTAAGTGTAAATGCAAGCCGGAGTCAGAATCCCTTTATGCATGAAACCCAGTAAAATTCCTGTGGAATTAATTTCAGCTTCTGTGCAAAAGTTACGCAGCATAGCCTGTTTTTACAGCCGGGTTTTCGGTTTTTACAAGAGAAAAAAATCATGGGAGTGTGTAGGGGATTCAGAAATGAAAGAGCTGTTGTCAGTTCCTGATGAGAATATCATGTCCTTTTTACCAGGATTTTTGTGGCAAATGTGAACGCATTTAAGGTGTAAAGGCTGCATGTGTGAAAGAGTGTGTATATGTGTGTGTTTGGTTGTGAGTAGTTTTGGTGTGTGTGTGGTTCTGTGTGACTGTGAGTACTTTAGTGTGCACAATGTTTGTTCCTGTTGTTTTCCTGTTGACTGCGGATGTTTTCTTTGACCGTTTAGGTTGGTTGAAGCTTCCGCTGAGTGTGTTTGGACCAGACAGGCGGAAACACCTGCTCACACACACACACACACACACACAGAGTTTCTTATACCTTCACAACTTTTTTTGTCCGGGGCCAGTTCATATCCAGGATCACATGCGCACTTGAAGCTTCCCAATGTGTTCACACACCTCTGCTCACAGCCTCCATTATCTGGCTTCACACACTCATCCTCCTCTGAAAACACACAAGCACACACACACACAGCCATGGGTTAAGAAGAACACACTCTGCACAATAAACCTTATTAACTCTTTTAACATTTAACACTGGCCCACAGTTAAATTCCTCTCTCTCATAATTACACATTTTTCATAGTTTCATAGTAGTTGCTAAACAATTTAAAACAAATTAAAATAAAGGTCCTCTTAAAATAAAAGTGGCAAAATGTTTATGTTTTTGTGCCAATGCCAATTCTTTGGAAAACGATTTTTGTAAATGAGATGTATGAGTTTAAATAACCTTTTTAAAGTTTAAATATTCTCCACATAGCGTAAAGCAGTGGTTTTTCCTAACACTAATGCACCAGATTTGGACTTCTGGACAAGGACTTCTGAAGAAGATCATTATCTAGAGCAGGTGTGTCAGATTGTAGTTGACAGTATACTCCACAGGAAAGTAGACGTCCAGGACCAAGGCTGGTGTGAAGGTTTGATAGGAAGAACCCTTAAATTGGTATTGACACTCATTCTCATATCTCTTTTTCAAACATGATTCTTTATAGAACAAAAAGTGGGTGATCCCTCTGGGACACCTTTTTTCAAAAGTCTAGTTACTAAATAAGCCCTAGGATCAATAACGAAGACGTATAACCTGAAACATGATGTACTGAATTTCCTTGATTCAAATGTTTATATCATTCCCACATGAATTTTGTCTTTCAGTTTACTCATGTTTTGCAGTTACTGTGCTCATATTTCATTGATGTGGAAATAATGTACACATTTGAGCCAAGTAAATTGAAAGCATCACTTTTTTCACTGTAGAAGAAACAATAAGCACAAAGGAATTTGCTGAAAAGGCAAAAAAACAAGGAGAAATAAGAATAATAAACATAGTTAAACCACTTTAATCAGCATGACAAATTGAATTGCTTTTAAGAGTGAAATTGCATCCAGAGAAAAACCACAACACTCAAGTTCTCACGGAACTGATTTGCTGAACTTGAATTTGAAGATGTGTGTGTGTGTGCATACCTTTAAAGAAGTTGGCAGCGAAGCCGGCTTTATTGACAGTTCCATCTGAGACGAATTTCATCCAAAGTGTGTTGGAAGTGGAGCGAATGTCCTCAGGTTTGTCATAGCCGCAGAATCGACCAATCAGAGGGCTGCTCTCAGATAGGCCATCACGCACCTCCAGGTAGTCGTAAGCACAGCTGTCATGCCTCTCGATCTGCACATACGCGCGCACACACACACACACACACACACACACACACAGACAAAGAACAAGAAAAATCCACATTAATGTCAAGTTTAGTCACTTATTATAATTTTAAATTTCTATACAGTAACTAGATTACATTATAAACAAGACAAGGCTCTTTTGATGTTTTATTCAACATTTCACGTATTTTGGAAACAACAATAAGTTATGAAATGACACTGTAAGTATCCATAATAGAAAATACATTTGTTTTAAATAAGAGGCATTCAGGGTGATAATTTCATTAATTTTATATATTACAGCTGTTATAGAGCTTTCTGTCATTTTAAAATCATCTGCTCTGTTCATCATTCTGAACAAATGTTTTTTACAACATCAGAACCAGATTTTTTACAACATCACTGAATGTGTTTGATTACTTGGATCGTGAGAAACAGAAAATACAGCCAACTTTTAGAACTGAACTTTGAATGCGTGGAAAAATGTCTCTGCAGATTTCTTTGAAAAACTGAAAGCATCTCACCCGAAAAGAATGGGAGCTGTAATAAAGACAGAATGCACACGCTAAATACTGATAATCTCTTGTTAAGGCTTTTGTTTTTCACTTCTAATATTGAAAAGTTAACTTTTATTTAGTGACCATTTTAGTTGGAAGTTAAGTAAATGAGAAGGTGGTCTCTTGGAGGTGAATACTAACTGTATAGTACATGAAAACCACACAAAATCTTCCGTAATATAAGCTTAATATGTAAATACGCACACACACACACACACAGACACACACACACACAGACACACACACACACACACGCACACACACACACACACACATATATATACACCCTCAATCAGCACCCACAGAATGCATGCGCAAAAAAACAAACACATCATGTGTTCTTTGCATTATCGTGCCAATAGCACCTTAGGTGTTAGAGCCTAAGAAACATTCCAATGAAAACAGGATCTCGCATACCAGACGCGCAAGTCTACTGGTATGCCAAGGTCTCTGGGTTAGCACTGTGTCTTCCTCTTGAATTGTGTGTGTGTGTAGGAGAGTGAGTAAATGAGAGTACGAGTGTGTGTGCAGGTAAATGGAGAGAGTGAGTTTTACATCCTGTGTTTGTTTGTCTCTCTCTCTCTCTCTCTCTCACACACACACACATACTCTTCAACAGTCCTGATTGAAAGGGGAACCTTTTCCTCTTTACTTTCAAAGCAAGTCTGTGACCTTTCCATGCACTACAACCTACAAACATGAGAGAGCAAAACCTATACAATGCATACACTCCACTACACGCACCCATATATTCACACCACCGTAACTGGATGATATGGATGAAATACTATTGTGTTTATATTGATACAGACTGTATTTGCCATAGAACATTTGCAGATACATACTAAAAACACTGTTGTCGAATCTATTCTGTGATTTTGCTTAAAGATTGGCCTGCATTATTTTATTTACTTTATTTTGGGGGAGGGCGGCACGGTGGCGCAGTGGGTAGCACTGTCGCCTCACAGCAAGAACGGCCTGGGTTCGATTCCCGGCCGGGCGACCGGAGTCATTTCTGTGTGGAGCCTGTTCTCCCCGTGTCTGCGTGGGTTTCCTCCGGGTACTCCGGTTTCCTCCCACAGTCCAAAAACATGCAGTCAGGCTTATTGGACATGCTAAATTGCCCCTAGGTGTGAATGTGTCTGTCTGGCTGCCCTGCGATGGACTGGCGACCTGTCCAGGGTGTATCCTGCCTTCCGCCCAATGACAGCTGGGATAGGCTCCAGCACCCCACCACGACCCAGAAGGATAAGCGGTTTAGATGATGATGTATGTATGTATTTTGGGGGATTTTGACCAATTTTTTCCCCCAATTTCATTTCTGCCAGTTCCTTCGGTGCTAACAGACATATTTGCCTACTGCAGAACCTCATATATCCAAAATGGTAACTTTACAGGAGAAGAAAAAACATTGTTAATTTTTAATGAAAGTCAAAGCAAAAAGTTGTTTTTTCAAATGAAATTTTTGACAATTTTAATTTTTGTACATTCATCACAAATTTTCACACATTGCAAAGGGTTTAAAAACGATGAAAAAAGTTTTTTCAACTGAATATCTACTAAATTTACCTCATTTTTCAACCCTAACCTTAAGCCAAAACCTAAACCTGACCCTGGACCTAATCCTAACCCTAACTTTAACCTTAAACCAAAACCTAGCCCTCCAGTGCTCCAATGCTGATGAGAATCAGGAGTTTCATCTATTTAGTGTTGCTAATTTGAACATCTATAAATGATCTGTTGGGCGCTATCCACATAAAGTGTGACTCCACCGCTAATCAAGTCTCCCCGATATCACACAATGCTACCAAGATAGGAGAGTGAAGGCTAGCGTGTCCTAAGAGACACATGAAACAACACCACATCTTTTCAAACTGCCGCTAATGCACCATCATTGGACGGCTCAAAGTGCTTGGACAAGAATACTAACTGCTAATTCTGTTATGTCAGCTAACAGTTGCTTAGGGAGTTTGTACCTCGAAGGCCTGAAAGCTGAGGCCCACGTTGTAGCCCTCAGACACAGTGATCCTCCACACGCACTCCTTCGACGGCCTGTAGTCGTCAGGGTAGTTCGGAGACTGAATCTGGCCCGAATCCTTAGTGATGTCACCTCCACAAATTGCTATGGGAGAGAAACAGTACAGACTGTTTTAGTTTGTGGTACTTAATGCTTAGTTAATGTTGTAACTTTTGAGTTTTTGAGTAATTTGAGTTTCCTAGTGAGCACAAATAAATTAAGCTAAATCAACTAAATCGTGTTAAATCGGGTACCTTCTGAGCCACACCTAGTCAGACTATAGCATTCTGGGTCATTAACACAGCTGAATTAGTTCATCAGCATGTTAGCAAGGCCTCCATGAGCTGAATTCAGAAGAGAGAAAATGCTAATCTCTGTGGAGCTGTGACGCAAAAGGAACACCCTGGAGGAAGTTTGACACCCTTGAGCTAGAATAACTGAAATGACCAAAAGCAATCAGGTACTTTAGAAACTGTTACCTTCAACAATAACGAAGAAGTTGTAATTTTATATCATATAATCACTTGTAGTTTAGTGAACAAGCAGAGAAATTCTATTTAAAGTGCGGAAACTAAACTTTGATTCAATAGAGGTACCTTATTATGGTTTTTAAATTTGATGTTGTATGTGTAGTCTTGTTTCGCAGAAAACTCTTTACATGAACCCTAACCAAGTGAGCACCACCCTCCAATCCAGTCTTAAAATTTGGTAATAGCCCCGTAAACTTGTTGAATTCTGTTTAAGAGTTATAGTGCGTTCAAGCTGATGTTAGCACGGTGAAATATATCAGTGTACAGGATCTTTAGAGCTTTCTGTGTGCTACCATTTCCTATGACTGTATAAAATAAGCACAAGGTTTCCTTTATTTTTGGAAGCACTGTGAGGGTTTGAGCTCATTCAGAGCACAAAGTAATGATAAAACACTACTAATGTACAGCGTATGTTGCTATTTATGTGTTTTCTTGCTCAAAAGATCACTTTTTATATATATATTTGTTATAATAAATGCAATAAAAAGTTATTAAGGCAAAAGAGGAGACTACATGGCAGGAATTTTGTGTCGGCCTTAACACAAAAATCCGTCGTACTGCCACATTTTATATGTTGTTGACACTGAAACACAGAAAAATGTTTGAATGTAACAGAATTCAAACTGAATGCAGTAGCAATTCATGGCTTACCTGATTAATTCTGTAATTATTTAATTGCATTTAGGTTAAAGACTTCTGATTGTTACTATGTTCAGTCTTTCCCAGTCAGCACAAATAAGGAAAGCTAGAGCAGCTCAAGTGACCCAAGGAAATAAACTCGAATTCTCCCATTTTCCAGCGCAGCTTTGTGAAATACAGTCACATTACAAGACCAAATCCCACCTTCATAAACGGCAGCGAAGCCCTTTCCCACCCAGTTACTGCTGCTGCGGAACTCAATCCACATCCGACTCTCAGTGGAGATCAGCATTTCTGGAACCTTATCACCACAAAAACGGCCTGCACGCACACACACACATACACACACACAAATAAACATTCAGAGAAGAAAGAACATATCAGAAATAATAACATCTAAAGAACATTAACAATAACTCTTATTAAGTTCAGTTTATTCTAAGCATTTGTGTGTACCTAGCAAAGGAGCTTTCCTCCAGTATCCATCCCGCACCTCGATGTAGTCGTACCAGCACAGGCTGCTCTTGTACAGGTCCATCGTGGTGAAGTTGAGCACTATCTGAATATGGAGAAATGTGGGAAATACAAGAGTTATAAAGCATGTAAACACTTGCTTAAAAGTACTTAGAAGTCAGTGTTATCACCAGCGATAACAAAAGCTTGTTGTAGTTTTATATTGTTTCTAACTTGTATCTCATAAAAGAAGTGGAGATTCTCTGACCTTAATTCTGTTGAAAGTGCAGATTTTAAACTTTCAATCAGTTTGTGTTAGTATTTCACAAACTTTTTGATACAGAACATAATTTGAATTTAATTAAATGTAATAAATTATGTAAATATGTAATGAATTATGTGATTATATAGCCGAAACAAAGCGAAACTAGATCTAGACTACACACAAAACCAAACATCAGACAGACACGAGTGTTACCTTCTCCCCAGGTGTGACGGAGATCCTCCAGACGCAGTGTGTGTATGAAGGGTATCCGTTTGGGTAACCAGGAGATGAAAAGTTCCCCATTGAGTCCTGCAATGTCTCACCACATGCTGGGGAAACAGAGAAAAGACACATGATTAGACTCACAAGGTGGAACGATGTACACTAGCCGACAGATTTGGGGCGCAACTGATTTTAGCCTCAATTCAGTCTGTGCTGATTGGATTCAGTCTGCAGATTTTGTGTCAATAGTTGGGACAGAAGACAGAGTGGTTTTGAGAAGCACAGTCTCAGATTTTTTGACTTCAGACCAGTCAAAGTATATCAGACTCTGGCTTTAATCTTATAGTACATACTAGTCAACGACTGAATGGATTCCTCCAACAGCCAATGAAAACCGCCAAAAAATAAAACCAGCAAGTAAGTCAAGAACAGAGATTCAATGTCTAGAGGAGCTTTTTCATTACTTGGGCTTACCGCAGTGGTACAGTTTAGTGCCTCTAAAAACTCATCTCACTCGTGTTTTGTGTCTTCTTTACTTTTTTAGCGCAAATGGTGGTGACATTAACAGCAGCAGCATGTTTGTTTTACCATCTGCATCTTCTAGTAAGGGGAGAACATGTGTTTCTGTATTCAGCCAGTTCGATTCAGTTGAGCAACAACTTAAAAGTTGTGTAGTGCATGATTCACAGTTTTCCCACCATCAATTGGAAAGCAAGATTCCCAGTCTTTTTATAATGCTATAAAGCTCATGTAGTGTATAAAAAGTTTGTTTGTAAGACAAATATACAGTCATATGCAAAGTCAAATTGGATGTTTGGTTGAAGTTCATATTCTCTCCAGAGTATGCAAATATGGCATTTCTGCAAAATTTTAGTCTCTGTGTTCATTTATTTTCACTTTGAAAATCAATAAGAAAAAAAAAAAGTAATTTGATCAGGGGTGCCAAAACTTTTGAACACAACTGTAAATAGTGAGGTTAATGTTATTCTAAGACATGGGAAATCAAAAACAATAAAAAACGTAGGTGTATCCAAACCTTTGACTGGTACTGTATCACGTTAATCATTATCACAATACTTTCTGCAAAACAGCTGATATTGTTAGATTCCATTCAGAATTTCAAGCAAATGAAATCCCACAGATCACAAAGGCTTCTGCTCACTATGTGACTGAATGCTGTGTGTTCAGTTCCCTTTTGTCAGTGCACACAATCACGAGAGCGAGAAACAAAGGACTACAGTGTAATGAGACTTTAAAATCCACTCATCTCTGGGCAGGGAATCAGATAGGTCTCTAAGACAAGCCAACTTTGCTGCTAACGCCGGCCTATAAAACCCCTCCTTTCCCTCCGAGTTAATTGGACAGTCGGTACATATGGAAGCGCTTTTAGTGTCTGTTTCACGAGAAACAAAGGAGCAGTCACGGCGAGCGGTTCCGCCGCAAAACCTGATAAGATGCTACTGGTTGTTTGGTAGGAAGGATGAGTGAACTGCTGTGTTTACACTGAAGATAAACAATCTTAAATGAATAGTTTGGAAAAAAAATGCTAACTTACATAATTCTCCTCTTACCGCAAATGTAGTTTATCAGCCAGAAGGTGTGTGATGTCTTTAGTTTTGCACTGGAGCTACGAGGCTAATGTAATCTAACATGCCAAACTGTTCAGTAATCTCATAAACTTGCTTGTGTGGTTTCTGAGACTGTGACACACTGTTATCTAAAACACTGCACAGCTAAAAACAGCAGTAGAGGTTTGTCTCTACTTTTGTCCATTTTTATAGAGAAGTCATACAGTGTCAGAAACCACTTAGGCAAGTACATCTGAGGCAAGAGTGTGATGATGATGCAGTTTACATGATGCTTCTTGGCATGATATGAGCTTCCATTACATCAGCCTTGTAGCTCCAGCACAAAACTAAAGAAGCAAACTTCAGACACCAAATGTGTTGGCTGGTCTGAGGTAAGGGAAACCGTGTACATTTGATTTTTGTTGACCAAACAGCTGCTTTAATTAAATTTGAGGTTAGGTTTTGAACTGGACTGTACAGAGCACTGAGTTCTGTAAGGGTACGAGGAGTGCCAACTAGACATTCAGCTGTCATTGCACTAATCAGCAGCTTCTGATAGAGAGAGAGAGATTAGAGTCATTTGCTTTGTAAGTGAACTAGGCCATGCGTCATGCATTTAGTCTCTCTGTCTCTCGCTCTCTCTCTCTCTCTCTTTCTCTCTCTCACTCTCTCTCTCTCTCTCTCTCTCTCTCTCTCTCTCTCTCCCTCTACACAAACAAATACACAAAACCCTTTGTAGAGTAATGACTGTCACCTCAGACAATACAGTACTCATGAATGGACATGGACCGTGAACAAACACAAAACACACACACAAACACACTGTAGAAAAGTTAGGAGAGCATGTGTGTAATCTCAGAAAGTACCTTAAATAACCTGTAATATGTCCCATATTAAATGTATGTATATGTAAGGGCCGATATGTAATAATAACACACCATGTAAGTATGTATATATTATAATTGTAATTGCATGCCCCATATGTCACAGTGAAAATGCTTCTGCTTTGCATTCTCTTGTAATTTAATGCAGTTTTTAGTTACAAGTGATATTATTAGTACATTACGTTAACTGGCAAGACTCTGATCACTAAAACTGACAAAGATCAAATCTACCTGAGAGTCTTCTGAACACGAGCTTCAATGGAAGGAGTAAGACAAAAAAATCTGACCTTTCTGTACAAAGGCCTCAACATGGCTAGTGTCACAAATTTGCCTAAATTTGAATAGTAACTTACAAATAGTGCAGTATATTGTATATTCCCTCTTCCTTCTATTTATAGATAGATACTTACATAGATAATTACCTCTAAGTAATACTAACTGAAATCGAAGGTTGCCAGTTTCTTTGTTTTTGTTTTTTTTTGTCTTGAAAATGTACAAAAACAAATGCGCACAAATTGCAGTTTCATTTTTTTATCTGGAGACCTTTTTTCCTATAAAATGAGCCAAACTTTCCATCACTCACACCTTCAATCATCTGTCCTCCCAATCTTTTTTCCTCTCTCATTCACTCAGCACACTCTCTGTTTTAAAGGCGTCTTTGGCAGAAAAGAGAAACACACACCTCATCACACACCTCATTACACATCTACCGCCCCCCCTCAGCACACCCACACACACTGATATTACCTGGGCATCTGTAGAGCTTTTTGGCCTGAGAAATGTCCCCTTTACTGAGCCTTGTTCTCTGGCCAATAGCAGGCCGTACACCGTTCTCATCACGAGAGGGGAGGATAGTGTCCAAAAACATTCCCCTAACAGAGAGAGAGAGAGAGAGAGAGAGAGAGAGAGACAGAGAGAGAGAGAGAGAGAGTTTTTGCTGTGTTTACAGTAAGAATGCTGACAGTGAATTTCTCTCACTGTATGTGCGTCTCACCTGGAGAAGGTATTTCTGGCGTAATGCATGATGCTGTCAAAGTCATACGGCTCTCCAAGAGAGTTCACCTCTCCGGGCTCCATCTTGAGGAAGTTATACTCCTGACCTAAAAATGAGCACACACCATACTCAAGTCCTTTTATTCTGAGAGCCAATCACAACGTGAGGCTAGATATTGGCACTATGATCACATTTTTAAAATTAACTTTCGCTCACCATCTCGTATTACCATAGCAACACAATTTATGAATATTGACAGCAATCAGACTCCTGATTTAGACTGTTTTTGTACCATAAAATCAACTTTTTTTTATAACACGTTTTTCAATTACTTTTGATTATTTGTATGTATTTTGGTTGGAAAACTTGTCTGGTTCAAACAAAATAGAATTGTATAAAATTAATTGTGCTCACATCGATTTGCCAGACTTCTAAGCCCCTCAGTCTGTTACAGCTAACCCCACCTATGGGGTACGTTCTAGCGTTTGCACTCTCATGGCTTTCGGCTGAATTGTTCCTAAACTGTAGGTGCTGGAAACAGTTCACATTTTCATTTATAACAGAAATGTGTTGGTTGCTTGTATTAAAAAATAATTACAAATAGTTTCAAAATGATTTAGTAAAAACCAAAATGTGTTAGGTTGTGCCCCACTCTGAATTTTTCAGAACCTACTATGAAGCTAAAATGTAAGTTATGTGGTTGTATGAGTGAGGAACTGAAGTTATGATCTGCTGACAGGTTAAAGTGTAATGGGTTATAAAGTGCTTGGCTGGTTATAAGCAGGTCACTGTTGTGAATCAAGTCTTCACTGCTAAATTGTGAATGATAGTGCAACTGGCTGGACTTGTGGGTAATGTAGTACCTGGCTGGATGTTTTCTCTGTTGATGGTCACATGATCGTCCCGGTCGGGCCGTGTGTGCTCGTGCCAGAATCCAATCACATGACCCAGCTCGTGAACCACTATGCCAAACTTGTCACAGTTTTTACCGATGGAGATTGCCTGAGGCCCGTTCCCACGGCGACCCACATAGGAACAGCACCTGCGAGAGAGTTGAGAGTTGATTATAAGCTTTGAATAATTAAAGGTTAAAGTCAATCTTTAAATCCTTCTTACATGAACTTTTGTTGAACCACCAGCTCAGTGTCTTAATAACACTCTTTATCATTCAGCACAAGATGATATTCTAAAGCGTTTTCCGCACTGTCATTCAATGATGAACATAAACACTTTAAATATCACTGCCATCTTTGCAAGGATAATAAAATACAGTTTATACATTTAGACACACTGAATAAAGAGCCATCAGGTGATCTGAGGAGATTGCTGAGGTGTTCTAGATCACCAAAGAGAATGAAGGTGATTTATAAATTAATACAGACAAAAAGGGAAACGGGTAATCTGCAGTGATGAGGTGGTTTGTAGGGTGTTGTATTTTTATCTAATGTGACATTTTAAGGGTGGTTATGTGAGGTGATTTGTAGGGTGTTGTGTGGTAATATGGGTTGATATATAGTGATGTAGTGTAGTGTTTGGTGTGAAGGGGTAATTTGTAGGGTGCTGTACAGTGATATGCTGTGAATATATTTGGGGTGAGAGGGTGACTTGTAGGGTGTTATAGGGATATCTGGGCTGATAATCATCATAACAAAACAGGTCATTTTTAGTGATATAGGGTGATATAGGGTGATTTTTGGAGTGAGTAGTGTGTTGGCATATCTGGGCTGATGGGGTAGTTTATGTGATGCTGTAGGGTTATTTGGAGTGATTTTTAAGGGTAATATAAGGTTTATCTGGGCTGATGAGGTGATTTGTAGGCCAGTTTGGGGTAATCCAGGCTGGTTTGAAGGGTGTTACAGGGTAATCTGGAGTGATGTTGTATAGGGTGATCTGCTAGAAAGGATGTTATAGGGAAATTTGAGGTGATGGGGTAATTTGTAGCTATGTGGTTTGATTTTTAATCTTGGGTCATTTCAGGTGATGGGGTTCGTAGGGTGTTATAGGCATAACTGGCCTGATTTGGAGTGATTTTCTAGGGTGATGTGAGGTAATACAGGTGATTTGTTAGGTGATGTGGGATAATATAAGGTGATTTGTAGGGTGTTGTATGATTTTATGGGGTGATTTGTATGCCGATTTGGGGTAATCTAGGGTGGTATGTGGTTTGTTGTAAGGTAATCTATGGTGGTTTTTGGGGTATTGTAGGGTAATCTAGGGTGGTTTGTGGGGTGTTGTAAAGTAATCTAGGGTGGTTTGTGGGGTATTGTAAAGTAATCTAGGGTGGTTTGTGGGGTATTGTAGGGTAATCTAGGGTGGTTTGTGGTTTGTTGTAGGTAATCTATGGCGGTTTGTAGGGTGTTGTAAGGTAATCTAGGGTGGTTTGTGATTTGTTGTAGGGTAATCTATGGTGGTTTTTAGGGTATTGTAGGGTAATCTAGGGTGAAGGGTGGATTTTAGGGTGGTTTAAGATTACACAGGGTGATGTGTAGGGTGCTGCAGGGTTAGATGGTGTGATGGGGTGATTTGCAGGGTGATGTGGGGTGATCTGTGATTGCTCCTAGAAAGCCCATGAGGTGAATAGCAGCTTCACAGCGTGTGACAAGATTTAGGCTACTTATATCTGACCCCATGCCAACACAACAAATCACGAGAGAGAAAGAAAGAGAGAATTTCAGGATTTCTGTTTCAAGTATAGCTGAGTTAAGAAGATCAGACCACCTCTATTCAATAACACACACACACACACACACACACACACACACACTCAGAGGGTTTGACTTCATTGTGCTCGACAGTTGGCACAGTTACTGTCATTGCTCATGCGCTGCTTCTAAACACAGTGCTTTAGGACACCCCAAGTCAGACTGTATTACGCACAAACACCCTATATTACAGGGTGTGAACGCAACCAAGAACGTAGGTTTGCGTGTTGGCATAAATATGTGTGTACAAACACGCAGCTAATCAGTTCATAACTGTGTATTAAGTAGGTTAGAATATCTGGCACCTCACTGGTAATTTGGCCGTCTTGCCCTGTGTTGTAATTAGAGTTTGGTGGTACAAGCCTGCAAAGCTGATTATTATAATCAGCAATGTTACCGTGACTGGGCCAGAGAAGAACACACTCATAGTACACAGTGGTGCTTAGTTTTTCTTGCCCACACAGCACTGCTGAATACATAATCCAGAAAGAATGCGTGCTTTCTTTCTGAATTATTTGTATAATATTCTAAGCTCATTTCACTTGGTTACTTGGTTAGACTTTTTATTTAAAATCCTCTTTGAAATTTCTGTGCCAAAACATTTGATGTAATTACAAAAGTATGTTGTAATATTACATTAATTCATTCTCAAGTGGAGAAATTCAATGGAAAACTTCATCACATTTGTGTTTGTGCTTCATTACATTTTATGTTTTTGTGTTTTTGACATAAAAACAAATGGAAAACGTTTAAGTCAAAGGCAATGAATTACATATCTTAGTAATTAATTCTGTGTAAATATATAACTAAATAATTATGTAATGTAAATCAAAAGGTAGCAAAACAATAATATCAGCGTAATCAAGTACAAATATAAAGTTAGTTAGTGCTCAAAACAGTCACTCAAATGCACCATATATGTGTTCAACCTGTGATCTTTCTGCAGATCACTGCACATCTGACCATCTAACAACACCGGCTCACTGTTAGGTTTCTAGCACCGTGCATGGTTGTCTGGTGTCTACATTCCGCCATATTCTCCTCTGCTCATTCTGACTGCTCTCAGTGACCATAATCCCTGCCAGCAGGTAAGGTGACCCTCCTTCTAGCCATGGAGGCTGCAGGAGGGGCAGAGTTTGGACAGGGCTGGATGTGCCAACTGGCTAGAAATGTGAGTGCGTGTGTGCTTGTTTTGTACATTCAAAAATGTTCTGACTTTGTAGAAAAAGTTAAAAACACGGCAAGACCAACACACTGGCCCTGACTGTGTAAAGTGCATTTTACAAGAGCTACACTTTTCTCTTTTTTTAAAACTGAAAAAGCTAAAACATTTCTTTTTGGTTACTGAGATCAACATTAGGATTATATTCGGATTATATATTATATTAGGATTATATATGTGTATGTGTATGGGACATATTAGTAGCAGCAGCAGTTCCACTCTTAAGCTCAGCTGCTTGCGTGCTGTTGATATGAGTTTGTGACTGTAGCCCACTCATTTAAAAAACAGCTTTTATAAAAAATCATTTACAAGGAAAACACAGCCCTGATGCCAGTAATACCAGTAATATCAGTAACGTTAGCACCAGAGGCACGCAGACTGCGTAATTGATAAAAATCTTATCGATAAAAATCGATAAGTGTGTTCACCTTTTTTATGTAAACCCTGTGTTCACTTGATTTTATGTTCAGGTTCGTGCTAAATTATTGAAAATAATAAATACATTCTGATGAAGCTTGTTTTGTTCACTCATATAGCTTTAACAAAATGCACTGCTGTTTAAATCAAAACAGTCTTTCTTTAGGGCCAAATTTGAGAAAATAAGACAAATGCAATTAATCACAATTAACTACAGAATATATCCTTTTATAACATGTGGGACATGTGTGTGACCCCACAGCCTGACAATGTATAAAAACAAACCTGTGAGTGTGTGTGAGAGAGAGAGAGAAAGATTAGATCATTCTAACTTGTGCTGCGTCACATTGTATGCTGTATACTGAGTTCTTAAGTAGTCAGAAAAACAAACAAACAAATATATCAACACACACGTGCAAGAGTCACTAACCCAGATGAAGGTCAAGATAGTCGAGTCAGAGTTCGAGGGATTCGGTGCAACATTGTTGTCTGTACTTAAGCATGTCTCAGACACACAAACACACACACACACACACGGCCGTAATCTCTACCTCAGTCAGGATGTTATTTATATCTTGGATTAGGACACCTTAATCCCTTATTTCATGGCCAGTGGTAGCAGAGCACACACATATAAACACATTTACTCTCTCACACCGAGCAGTAAGCTATTAAACCGGTAAACATAAACAAAGCTAAACACAAAAAGACTTATCACAGCCATCAAGAACTACATACTGAGTATCAGATACTTACACACACACTGACACCTGAACGTACGCATACATAGGTACCACTCAGAACATGTAAAAAGACACAAACTAGCTATATTGGTGCAAACTGTGATTAATATTAAGGTGAGGGGCAACAGTAGGTGTGAGAAAATAATGACGGTCAACGACTTCATTCAAACATACACGTGGTTTAGGCCTCATGTGCCGTGCACCCATGTGCGTGTCGGCAGGTTTACGTTTGATTGACGCCTGGCGATTACAATAGTTATGGCCATGCTACCTATGGATAAGGTTATGTAACGTTATCACTCCATCTCTCCGCCTTACACTCTGCCTCTGGAGCACTGATGGTCTGTTTTATTAACCCTTACATTTTCTGAAAAAGGGTACTGTACAGAGGTCTAACTGTGTACCTGAAATATGTTTTCCCAGGGGAAAGGTGGATATTTGAACCTTTTTATACCCTAAAATAGAAAAATTGAAAAATAAAATAAAAAGCCTGAAGTCAAGACGAGGTAACTTAAAAATAGCCTAAAGGTACTGTTGCTCTGCTGTGCTTTAAACACAATACAATATTACACAATTGCATAATTATGTAATGAAACAGATTTTTACTCAGCGTAAATTCTGTATTGGCAGCTCCTAAAAATGACAATAACATGGCAAAAAGTATTTTTCTTTTCTCAAAAGAAGAGCCTACACACAATAGTAGTGTTTTTTAAATTACAGTTACTATATAGAGAGGGAGAGTGCAAGAGCACAAGAACGGGAGATAGAGAGAGAACTTGGGAAAGAGAGAGCTAGAGAGATTGCTGAAGAGAAAATGCACGAGAGCACGAAAATTTCATTCATTGGAAAACAAACCCAACTCGTTGTGCATGAAAAATCGGCCATAAGACCAACTGATTATCACCCCGATCGGCCTTGGGTCAGATAAGAGTCCTTAAAATGTTTAATTTAATAATGGCATTATTGGGAAAATATCTCTGTTTTCACTCATCTTTTCTCATTTTTTATGATTTCCCTTACATGTCAATGATCAGTGCTGCATTCCTGTAAGAATTGTTGATGTCTTGATCTGCATATTAAGTAAATAAATGTTTTGGATACCCCAAAACCTTACTACAGTGAACTGGGCTGAGCCCTGGATCTTTACACGCCCAGTCAATGCTCCTTATGCTCTTGTTATCACTCATGACATGATATGAGGTAGAAGAAAACATGTAAGAGTACCTAATCATATAAATATGGTAAGATACATCTACACCAGACTACATGTATTTGGCATAAAGAACAGATACGCGAGAAAAATGATTGCAAAAGTTTTGCTTTTACCTCTCTTATCTCATTATCTCTCTCTCTTTTTCTCTCTCTCTCTCCCCTCATTACCATGTCAGCTTGTTAGGATGCCATTCCACAGAACAATGGCCAGCCTGTGCACCATGGTAACGAGGCAGGAAGGAAAGCTAAGCTGACTGTAGTAAAGTCAGCACACACACACTTTTGTTTTAAAAACACACACATCACAGGATGTACACATAACAATGAGAGGTGAATGAGTAGGAGAGTAAATGTGTGTATGTGTGTGTTTGTGGGTGGGTTCAGACCTCTAGGACTGTTTTCAAAGAGAACCTCAATGGAGTTCCTAACTAGTGGTGTACTGCAGGGGTGAGCATTAAGCCCCCTACAATTGTCTGCAGTCGTCTCACATCCATATAAAAAGCGGTTACCAACACTGACCAACTAATCAAATCACATCAACAAGTAGCACAGAACTGTGTAATTAATATCAGTCCTAATTATTTGTAAGACTAACTTCAATTCCTCACTTTTTACAGCAGTTTCTGAACAATATGTCTTAATAACTGAATATTGGGCCTAGGGTTCAAGGGGTTGAGTAAGTGAAGACATCAGTATCCCCAAAGGAATGTGTTCCAGTTAGATGTTGCAAATGTACTCTGCTTATCTGTTTACAAAGTATTATAATGCTTTATAAAGTGGCGTTAGTTCTAATGAACCAGCTTCCATGCACAGAAACACACAAATGTGGTCTCACCCGCAGGGTCGGTAGGTGAAGACGATGTAGCTCTCTTCATCAGTTTTCTCGATGAAGGTCACACATGTCTGTTTCTCCCAGTGTCTCATAGCCTGCTTAAACATCGCCCTCTGACTGCCTGAGGAACATGCACATACAAAGATATACAGCATTAAACTTGAACAGAGTATTATAGACAGGCAAACAGTGTTACACAAACATAACACATATACATTGTCTTGCCCTTAATCCCTTTTCACAGCACCCATAAAATGCTATTTCTGCTTGTTATGGAGGTCCCTGCAGAGTTGAACTATGCATTTCCTTCTTCATTAACGATGATGGAATACATGTAGATGAAAATCTGTGATTTAGGAAACTGGAAGCGAACTGGATTTTCATCTTTGTAGTTGAGCAAGCAAGTCAGTGTTGATATAAGTGTTTTTGTTAAATGCTGTTTTTGTTGGCCATTTGTTGATCATTTTTTATCAAGAAAGCTGCAGTTGTGCCGTCAGTTTCATCTTGGTACGGACCTGTGGGGAGATGTGAATTGTTTTTACAGCAGGGGGTTCTTAGTCCCCTCTTTTACTACTCATTGCTTGCTAGCAGCTCAACAGAGCTTGAACAAACAGGTAGAATGCCTTTACATGCAAAAAGATATGGCAAGCGGTGCAATTAGGTATGCTACTTTCTATTTCGGAAAAATAAACGTACCATGTAGCGTTTCACTGCACCATTGAGGAGCTTTGGTTTCGCACACAATTTGGATGTCCATAATGTAGTTTGACAGTTTTGGAGATGCAGTACTACACGTGATGAAGCAGAAGACGAGCTAATCCTTCAGACGTTTGATAAAATGTTCTAGTTGCTGGAACAGAGCCGAACCATCATCTTAGTTGTCAAAGAGACATAAAAAGAGACCACAGTATTTGGTCGAGTGAGTGAATATCACCTTCAAAAGTTGAACAGGGGGCGAATAAAATAGTGTCATATTTTCAGACAAATTTTGTTTAGGGTCTTCAGTTATACAAGGGTTTGAAACTATTTATTGAATAAATAACTCAATAAACTGCATGAATAAGTTGAGCTCAGTATGTAAAGGTGGTTTAAAGTCACAAATGATGGTAAGAATGGAATATTTTATTATATTATACTATATTATCTTCAGTGGCTTTTCTCTTTGAAACAAACAGACAAATTCTTTTGGGCAGACTGTAAACTTTCAATCAGCACCACACTTGTGTTTGTATTTAGAAAAGAAGATATTTTATTATGATTTGAATTTGATGAACAGTTATTGTTGTGTGCACAGTTCTGTTTTGCGGAAAGAAAAAAAACATCCTTTACATTTTTGTCCATGTGTTTGTCATTGTTTGACAACCAAACAAAAGGAAAAATGTAAGCAATGCAAAGGCACAAACTAACACATACACGTACAGAGAGCACTCACCAGTGAAGTTGCCTCCTATAACGTAGGGGATGACTCCCCCAGGCCAGATTCGTTCTGCTCTGGAAGTAGCAGCCCGTGGGACTCGAGATTTACTCCCTCTAGCCCCTCTCCCTCTAACCCCAGTGCCCCCACTCCGTGGGCCAGCCTGCAAACTCTCCTCCTTACTGGAGTTCTTAGACCACGAATCTACAGAGAGAGCGAGAATGGAGTATATATAAAACAAAGAGGACAGAACACGTATACACGTTAGCAGACACCTTGAGCTCTCTTGAAATTTTCACTGTAATGTTTGATATTTTGTTGTTTACTAATACGTCAGATATATTTAGCTTCAACACTCAGCTTCACTTTAAAGGTTATCAAAGTGTCTTTCTTGGTATGAAGATCAGGTTTTTATCTAAATAATGATTTGGCAGTTCTCCTTTGCAAACTATTGTTAAAAGCACTTATGAAAACTCTTTTGACCCAAAGCTGAAAGATTTGAGTGTTGATGAATGTTGACATCATAACAAGGGGATAAAATGGATAAGCTTTGGCTTCATTCCCAAGCATTTTTGTCAGCAGTAGCTTTGTAGCCTTTGCAAATAAAATTATAAGAGCTAAACAGCTTCAGATTTAATACAAAAAAATCTCATTTATTATTTGTTAAACATTTTGAAAAGCTGGCTGTCCCCAAACTTTTGACAGTGTACCACATTGTAGCCAGGGGACATGGAGGCCTAGGCCACCACACTTTAAAGCAACCCCCACCCCCCCACCCCCCAAAAAGAGAATCTGGCTTCACCACTGGTACCAACATATTACAGCCCTTTCTACAGAAAACGCCAGACTGACCGTATCATTAGCAGCCATGCTTACCAAAGCTCTTTCTGTGTGTTATGAATGGCATCTCACCTAAATGCCAAGTCTAGTTACGAGCTTTAAAGGATCAGCAGATATTAAAGTCAAACACCCCTCACCGCACTGCAAGCGTGCTGCAAATATGCAGAAGAATTAACTCAGTAAAGGTCAAAAACACAGAGGAACCGGCAGGCACATGCCCACAGATGGAAAAGTGAACTTACCAAGCCCCAATCGCTGTATTCTGTCTAGCAGGAGGTATAATGAGCTTCGCTTTCTAGTGGCGTCATGCTCTCCTAATCCACCTGACAGAAAGAAAGAAAGAAAGAAAGAAAGAAAGAAAGAAAGAAAGAAAGAGCATGTCATTTCAAATGTAATGAGAACACTTTAGATGGCCCATATCCATTTTTGTTTTTTCCCTTGAAGTCCACTTGTGTGGATTTCTGTACCAAAAACAGTCATATTTTATTTTTGCATTACCATTTGTTTACCACCTCTTTATTTCTCAGAATTAGACTGTTTTTGTTGCTGTGCATTTAAAAGTGATATATTTAAATGAGCTTAGTTCTGATTGGCTCATTCAAAAAGCACCCCAAGCTGAAAAAACTAACTAGAATTCAAAATGGGCTGTTTGGGCAGCATGGCTGTCATTTATGGACCGTATGGACTGGACAGTGAACAGTACGTTTAAAAACTGATAATCTTTACAACAAACTCCTTTATTTCAAAGAAGCGAGAGAGATTTGGTTTTCTGTGATTTGAGCTGCTTAAAGGACTGAAACTAATATTATGATGAGTGTGCTACGACACCAGCTCTGTAATGTTGCCCTCCACAGTATAATAATGTATTACATAATACAATAGTAATTATATAATATAATAATGATTATCATTATAGCATTATGTAATGGTGTGTATTATAGAGTTTTATGAATGGTGCTCTCAGCAACCACAAACAGAAAGGTGTGACATTCCTCCATGTGTGTGTGGGCTCGGTGCCACCTCTTTCATCCTTCCATCCTTACTTCTTCCTCTCTGGTCATTCATCATTTAACCATCGCTCTGCTTCTCTTATATATGGCCTGTGATCAGTATCCACTGCCTCTGCCTCTCGCTATGTTTCTCTTCTCCTCCCTTTATTCTCTCTTAAATACACCGTTTCTCTCTCTCTCACACTCTCTGCCTCTCTGATTTTCTCATACATGTTCTCTCTCTTTCTCTCTGGAATGTCGAAGTGGACAGGAAAGTCAGGAACAAACAAAACGGCCAAGTCGAAGGCTCAGGAAGGGATACACACACACAAAACTCAGTGTGAGAACTCAAGGGCCTGACTGATATATATCATTTGTCCAAGCATTCGTCGGCTAATACTAATGTTCCACTGGTTTATCAGTACTGAAGGAAATCCCACTGATGAAGAACCAAAAATGTCTCTTTAATTGTCATAAAATAAACTGTTAAGTATATCAAACAGTGCGCGTTAAATGTGCTTGTTTTCAGACTTCAACACTGTAACATTATTTATCTCTTTTAAGCCTGTTTTAGTCTTTACATGGTGAAGCTGCAAATAGATATAAGTTGCACAAAACATAATTTCCATGTAATTTGACTGTTACATGAAGCCTTTTTAAAATAATTGGATTGCAGCACATTCAGTCACATTATTTCTCTTTGTAGCAAAGCTGTTTTTTAGCAAAAGTCATATACAAAGCAGTCAAATTCCATGATTTTCTAAGTATAAATAAGTTAACATGTCCTCCACAGCAGGTGTCTGGAATAGCACAGTTTAGTGATTTCCCAGCTCAAGCACACCAGCTAAAATAGCATAGCTGATGAGTTGAATCCGGTGTGCTTGATCAGTCTGTTGAAATGTTATCACCTGTTTCTGATTAGCTGTTTTAACTGTTTAACTTGAACTTGTAAGAAGTCTTACAGTTAATTTGCACTTTTGTTGGAAATTATCTTGTTTTTATGTACATTATTTAAAACTCTGAGTTTATTTGAGTTCAAAGTTGAACATGAATTGAAAATCATCTATGTAAAACACATTTTCCTTCTGTACTTCAACATATATGGAATGTAAACGAGGCTCTCTGAGCTAGAGCCGAGTGTTTTCTCTCAGTGATAGGTGCTGGTGGGAGGGGATGGTGAAACATTATATTACAGGTTAATATTATTTTTCCAAATGCTTTGGTGCACGGTGATGTAATCAAAGAAGACGTTTTAGAGGCACTGCATCTCTTAATGGACGACACAGACAAAAGAAGACTTTTGTCTTTTAAATCGTATTGTATGATGAATTTTGCTTAATATATGCAGAGACTTTAACTAACCTGGGTAACAAAGAGGAATTTGACAAATGAAAACTGACATTTATATTTGACAATTTACAGTTTTACATAAGGTGCTTCTTTGCTAAAACTAGACTTTTTTTTCGTGAGTCTGGTCCTGATGAACTATGCATGTCCCATATGTGAATTATCTATTTCTTATCAACATTATTTGCATATGTCCTGTCACACTCTCAAACAGTGGCTTATGGTCTTGCACAGCTTTACTAGTTTCGCATTTCTGAATAAACTGCAGTCCATCAGGAAGCTTCTGGCGGCAAAACTGCAGCATTCCAGAGAAACGTGTGAGCAGGTTAAAGGGAAGAATCAGATGAAGAGTAAATCACAGCCTCCTCCTCCTCCTCCTCCTCATGTAGAGTGCATTCCTCATCTCCCTCAGCCTCAACTCCAGCCTCAGTCCTGCTCTCTATTTTAGACTGACTGCCTTTAGCCTGACAGTAGATTATGACCTGGGCTTAACGCAGGAATGTGCATATGGGCTGGGCTCACAGCACGAACAGCACAAACTGTTTCTCTCTCAGTGACATGTACACCAGGAATGTAGAATGATATCGGAATCATATCAGCATCAGCAGGTAACTGCCTCAAAAAGCATCAGAGCATCATACATATGTTCAGATTAGATTTCAAAGCATTAGATTTGATTAGATTATACATTTAGGAATGTTCAGGTGACTCTGGGCCGCAGTACTAAAACGTCAGTGTTTTATTGAATTGACTGCATTTTACAACCCAGCGGGTCCCAAGTGTATCAGCAACGGCACTGGTATCAGCCAGAGATGGGAACTCGAGTCAATGACTAGGACTCAAGTTGCACTCACGACTGGACTCAGACCTATAACTAACTTGTAATTCGATTCAGACTCGCCCTTAACTGACTCATAACTCATTTCAAACACAATCTTAACTGACTTGTAACTCGATTCAGACTCTCCCTTAACTGACTCTTAACTCAACTCAGACTCGCCCTTAACTGACTCGTAACTTGACTCAGACACAACCTTAACTAACTTGTAACTTGATTCAGACTCGCCCTTAACTGACTCGTAACTCGACTCAGACTCTCTTTTAACTGACTTGTTACTCAATTCAGACTCGCCCTTAACTGACTCTTAACTCAACTCAGACTCACCCTCAATTGACTTATAACTCGACTCCAGTTGCACTTTCCCTTAACCGACTCACAATTTGACTTGGACTCTTGACTCGAACTCGCCTTTAACTGACTCATAACTCGTCTTAGATTGGCCCTTAACTGACTCGTGACTCAACTTGGACCTGCCTTCAAATACCTCAAGACTCAACTCAGGCATACCATAACTTCGTAACATCACGACTTTGACATAAATGACTCTCGATCTTGATTTGTTCTTAGATGGCTTGTGACTTGACTCGACAAACTGAATAAATTTAGACCACTGAGCTTCATGTGGTAAATGAATAAAAACTTCCATTTCCAGTGTATGGATTTGTGTTGCTTTTCCTACAGTGATTATTGCAGCGCTGATTCCATTCCTTTTTCATGCTGCTTCTGTGTTTCTTCACAAATAAAATGAAAAATGATTCCACCTTTTGGAATTTAAATAATTTGTGCTGCAGGATTTTGATTTGTGCTTGCAACACCTGCAACTTTATCACCAGCACTACCTGCTCAAACATTTTAAACACACCAAAGCCCAGCTAAAATATACAAGTAAAGAGACACACAAACGCATCCACACAAACTATCTCTCGCTCTCTCGTAGATATGCACACACACACACACACACGCACACATACACACACACTTTGGCACTCTTCAGTGGAGTTATGAGAAAGAGGTTCAACAGTGAGGGAGGATGTTTTCCTAGACAACGTCCGTCTGACTCCACTTAACACACACACACACACACACACACACACACACACACGCGCACACACACACACACACACACACACACTCACACAAGCTCACACATACACACAGTCATGTTTCCTCTCTTCCCACCACACTCAACCCTGCGAAACACGTGGCTGGTTTGCTGATGCTGCTGCAGAGGTGAGACAGCGGCATTTATCAAGTCTAATCGCCCAAAGCCTTAAACTCCCTCGATATCAACTCCCGACCTGTAATCAACTAAATATCATCTACCACATTACTCAAGCCCTCTAATCCCTTTATATCACCACATCTGCCTCACGACTCAATATACTGTACACACTAAACCTCGCTCATCAATCAAATCCACAAAGGCCTGAAGATCCCCGGCTCAGAGGTTCTGAGGAAACTCTTAGGAGACTCACAAATACACAAACACACCCACCGTATGCAGCATTACTCAAACTTTCCCAATAAGAGAACCAGTACTCATTACAACTCTTTGGTTAAGTAGACGGATACAGACTGTAACCGTTTATACACCACAGTCCAAACGTGTGGAATCACTATCTATCTATCTATCTATCTATCTATCTATCTATCTATCTATCTATCTAGCTCTCTATCTAGCTCTCTATCTATCCGTCTATCTATCCGTGTCTGTATAGTTATATTTCTATCTATCTATCTATCTATCTATCTATCTATCTATCTAGCTCTCTATCTAGCTCTCTATAAGAGTTAGACTGTTTAGTAAGTAATTAATACATCTTACACTGACAGGGGTGATTCTGCAATTATTCTGACTGTAAAAAACTGTAAAACTGTGAAAATATAACTGAGTAAATGATCAGTTATGCTTAACGTCACTGTTGCCTCGTTTCATCCTCCTGCATGATGAAGGCTGAGTCGGCCGTCTTACCTGACGTGTGTCCTTGCCTCATGTGTGTTTGTTGCGCGAGGTCTATCGTCCTGTCGACCTGAAACATCTTCAGATCCTCCTCGTCCAAGGCAATATCTCCCCAAAAGACCGCTGGAGAGAAAGAAAGAGAGAGAGGAGGGGTATATCATTAGAACAGGATACATGAAAACACTCTTTAGTGTATGAGCACACGCACACAGCCATATACACCAACTCACACACTCTCACACTATCTGGCATAGACATAAGATGCTGATTTAAGTGTTGGCAGATAATACCTACCCAAACACTGTCCAGAGACAGCTCAGTGTTGTTATTGGTTGATGCTAATTTGAGGTTTTGATTTAATTGACATGACTAAGCCACAAATTACAATAACAAGAGACAGCTTGAGCTATCCAAACTAACTCTTACCTCCACACACTCCCACACACACACACACAGCTCCCCTGAGACAGTGTACACAGCCTTCAGGTGCTGATTTAAAATGTGCAAGCTGGTCACTGCTGACATCACTTCTAAGCCAAGGACGAAATCATAATTAGCTTTAGCACTGAAACTATTCATAGAGGTATAAAAAAGTGGGCATTGTACGTGTGTATGTATATGTGTGTGTGTGTGTGTGTGTGTGTGTGTGTGTGTATGATTTTGTCCTATCCAAGGACACACAAAGACTCTTGCAGTTGAAACACTGGTTTTCATTTTCTACTCTAAAATAATTCCACACTGCAGATGCTTAGGGCGCTTGTTAACTTCTAAAAATACGCATCACTGCTGTATTTTGTGGATAATGTTCGTTTATGTCCTCTCTACAAAACCGGTGTTCATAGAGAGCAATGGGGTAAAATAAATTCAACAAAGTGGCTTAATATAGCCAACATCAATCCATAAAACACACTTAGGTCAGCCTGGATATGACTGGGACATGCCTATATTGGACCACTCGTGTGCACTAACCTTCTTTTTTTATGATGTGCTGTTGGGAGTGAGCTTTGCACAAACGTCGACACTATGTTATGATTAATTCCACCTTACTAGAGAAAAAATTCCATTGATATCAGCTGTTATTGTTTTTAAAACAAAGTTGTTACAACTGGATATACAGCATCTTGGAATGAAACTCTTTAATGACAGATTGTAGTCCTTCTGTTTCTCTGCATAGTTAGCCCCCCATTTACCCCATTCATCAATGATCTGGATGCCCATACAGGGTTGAACTTAAAATTCTGAGTTAAAAATGACATAATTGTACTTCTAATAAGTATTCATTCCAAAAACTAAAGCAATTTGTGGTTTCAACTGTGAAAAAAAAACTGGATCAGCATGTAAAGGGTTTGAATATCAATGTTCACTGAAAGGAACCCAAACCAGCAGGAGCTCATGAAGACATGTACGGCTGCAGACACAAACGTCAAAACTGGAGGCGAACTAATTTATTACCAAAAGGTCAGGTTTGATGTCTTTGTTGTGATGTTTTTTGTATTAGCGCAGCCTTTCATCCTAGCACATGTAACAATACTGTCGCAATTTACAGCCTTGACCACCACAGGACCACCACCCCTGAGCAGGACCACTCTCAGCACAGCAGTGACACCAACATATGAACATGACAAAATACGTCTAAATCTAAAAACCTAATAATTGGTGACCATTCATTCGTATATGTGTCTGCAATTTTGTCCTACCCAAGGACGAAGACTCCAGTTAAAGGTTAAAACGTTCTGGACATTGTGTATGAGGCCAACATCCCATGAACTTCCTATTTCACTCTTCCCAACCCCAGCCCTGTTCTGACTTTGACCTTCCTAGAATTCCGACTTCATCCTAACTCCCTTCCCACAAGACTCCCGCTATGGTACGCCCCATAGACTTCACCCAGCTTATTCCCAGCCACGCCCATTATATCATCATGTGTTCTTAATTTAGCCTGTCGCCAAGGAGATCATAGAGATGGCTATGATAGAGAACATAATGAAACTCCACAGTGTATGTGTATGTGCACGGATAACGTTTGGCAGGTATACGGCTCTTTAACCTTGATACAGAACAATAAACAATGCAGGCTACACTCAAGTCCATCTCAATTGTCTTAAGTATAAATGAAACTGTGTGTATGTGCATGGGTGTGTATCCATTCTTCATTCTCTCTGCTCACACAATACCCTGGCCCAGTCTCGAACAGCGCTCCCTATTAGATGGGTATCAGTGTTCTTCGTCTCTGGGGAGTCTTTCTGTTCTCATTAGACACTGATCAAGACACAAAGGCCATGGTAATACCCTCCATTAAGAGCTAATTATAGCTGTAATCACTCTCCGTCATACATCCTCTTCAGCTGCCATCTGTGAGAGCGCTCGCTAGCAGCAATTATGATGATTTAAGCCTTCGCGGTTATAAAAACTCTAGTTGGCAAAATTTGTATTTTGGCTTTGAGATCATGCATTTTGGCAGCTATAGACAAATTAAAAGGCTTTTGCCAATCGTGGTCTCTAAAATAATTTCCATAATTGAGCTAGGGCTTTGGCCTGTTGCGTAACCGCTGTATCATCCTAACATCACATGCTGTACTGGAGTGCCTCTGAAATCAGTAATCCTCACCGGGCTAAAATGACAGTAAGGCTGACCTATCGACGTGAAAGGTCCGGGAGAAAGATCTATAGATGAATAAAGAATGCATGAATCCATACGCCTATATAAAGAGATTCAGCGGAAGCGCTGAAGCAGCGCTAGTGAAATGCTGAGGTAACGTTTCGCCGTGGCTGGAAGAACACCGCAATCACACGACTATAAACAAACCAGTATCGATTTTAGTTTCATATAATCGAGCTATGAAAGTCACACCTGCATAAATTACACCTGCAAGTAATACACAGAGGAGCGATTTCCCATATCTTCACTGTCCGAAAAAAAAGTAGCTTAGTTTTATATATTTTTTTATTGGATATCGCAACATCATCACATCCAAAAAAGTAGTTCCTACAGCTTAGAGCAAAGCAGCCATTGTTGTTGCTTTGCAGCAGGTGTTCAGGGGATGAAACAGGTATGGTACACTATCAGATATAACAACACAGGTAGAGAACTTTTCGACAATCAGAGCTGGGCTTCCCGAAACCATCTTAACCCCTTAAAATCTCAGGCTTATTACATACTAAGACTTATTATTCAGTAACTTCAGGGACTTCGGTGTAAACTGGCTGAGCTATTCTTAGCCTATGAAAGTGTTTAATAAAATTTTGGGTCTGCCAGTTGGCCCTGGCTATTTAAGGGGTTAAAGATGATTTTTAAGCGGAAGAGCAAGCATCACACTGAACTCTCTCTGAGTTGTAATGATCTAAAAACTAAGATGCTTTTGGGAAGCTGGACCCTGAATGTTGAAACTGTTGGTATGTCATTTATTATGTTTTGGGTCACTCAGAAAATCTGACACTTGTGTAAATTAGTCAGACACTTGTGTAGGATCTAACTAAATTACAATTACACCCTAAAGTTCCTTCTATTATTTTCAGTGATTAAAAATCATTCTGAATTAGATTCCGAGTCCACCTACAATGACTTTCAATGACGACACGTCTACTTTGCCTCTGCAAAAACAATTTTCGCATTTGCATCAGTGTGACTTTGAATGACAACACACCTAGTTTGCCTGTGCAAGAACGATTTTCACATTTGCATCAGCATGTGCTCGGGGCGTGAGCTTAACATCCTGACCACAGCTGACCAAACGTGGCCAAAAAGTCAAAGCAATGATGTAATGAGAAATTTCCTCAGAACTCTCCTTCAGCCCTGAGTCCACACAAACAATGAGAAAGCATTTGTTATTCTAAAGTTGTTTGTATAAGAAGATCATGCACATATGCATACAAGAAACTCAACAGCAAAGCCCAATTTTTAACACCTACTTATTGATATTAGTTGAGGTTATAATAATAATAATAATAATAATAATAACATTATTATTATTATTAACATTTTTAGTGATTACTTTCTACTACTTACTACTTTCTATACTTTAAATGAAACTGTCAGTTTCTTTGGGCAGCTTCTGTTTATGTTCTTTATGAAAATAAGTGAACCCATCCTCTACAGGGAGAACAAACTTCTGCACATTTTCATACACAATTCCAGTTTATTTGCTGAATTTATCCCCTTAAAATCCCAGGCTGACTACGTACTAAAAAAATTATTATTCAATAACTACAGGGACTTGGCTGAGCTACTGGCTGAGCTATTCTTCGGTTTATAGAAGTGTGTAATAAAACTTTGGGCTTTAACTATTTAAGGGCTTAACATACTGGGACATAAGTGCTCAAACGTTTGTATACGACTGTATATACTGAATGTATTTGCTACATATACAGAACTAATATACACACTGAACTTCTTCAAATACATACTAAAAGTTTTCAGTATATATTGTTTTTAGTGTAATTGAAGATTTAATGCTTTAAATTGATCTCTGACCATTTTCAAATCCACTCTGACATAAAATATCTGACTCACATATTAAACTCAGTTACAGTTCATTAACAAGCCCGGTACAATGTAGCAGCCAAACTAAATCTTCAACAAAATATCATAATAGCCAGGAAAAGTAAAAACACCAATTATAAATACTGCTTTTACTCTTAATTCAGCAATGAAAATCTCAGACCACTGTGAGCTGGTGGGATTGGAGGAAAAAAAAACCCTTTCAGACTTTGTAATCTGCGCTAGAATAAAAATTGTTTGGGATTATAATCTCAGTCTCCAGGTTGGTGCATGACAGAGGGAGATGTGTTTTAATCTGAGCACCGCAATATCCGCAGACCAGATCCTGTATTAAAAACAGAGATTACTCTCCAGGTCTAACTGTCTGCTTCCAAATGAGTCCCGGAAGCCCCCAGAATCCTTCTCACAGAGACCGTTTTAGGAAATAGACATTTGATTTGATTTAATTTATGACAATTTTACATGACATTGCGTAACATTATAAATTGCTAAAATTATTTGGGATGATGTTACAGACTCATTTCCATTTAGTCCTCGGGTTTTTGTTCACAATGATAAGGTTCACGTGAAGGGGTAAATATGAAAACGAGGGGTTCATTTCAGGTTTTAACCTATGCGTGCATGT